GAGTACGGTAACGCAGTGCGCCGACAGATCGCTGCAAAAGCTGACTGCATTTAGTAATAAGTCTGCCGGCAGTCTCTTTGTCGTCAGGTGTCATTTCCGTGTAAATGCCTGCTTGGAAGGGCTTCATGAATTATATGTTTTGTGTTTTAAATACTGAATGTTGTAATTAGATTGTGGGTACGGGGAAGCCCCTCGCACTAAAGTAATTCCATTGTTAATTATCACGATCGTTCGATTCTCCCTGTGAATATACTATATTGCTGCAATTCGCCTTACGTTCCCTTTCTGTCGCATCTGTTCTTGAGAACTATACTGTAGACTTCTGCGTAATTTTGTCTCGCTAAACACAAGAACTTCGTCACTCTTAGAAGATAAGAGTTACTTGTGGATAAGCTATCGGTGATAAACATCAATTGAAATTTACGAAGAAGTGTTTTCTGCTGGTTGATAAGACACTGCTGAAGTTATAAGAAATCAGGAGATAAATTGGTCGGGTCCCGACCTGTTTAAGGCGACTATCACTTCCTCGAAAATGTATCAAACCGAACAGCCTAGCACAGCTGTAATGTTGCCGTTTTTAGTCTTGCCAAAGATACTAGAAAACCTGTCAATAATATAAAATTCAATTGAAGTATCTTCAATAAGAACGCCATTATTTGATGCTAATAAACTGAGGGACAAGTGAAGCTAGTAGATCATGAAACAGAACCACTGACACGCATGCCATATACTCATATAAGATTTCAAAGTAACTGGAACGCCAGAATCATGTTGCTACATGTCGTCGGTTGAAGCAAAACTCCTGATGCAAGTAGGTCCTGCTTACGAAATATACATTTATTCTGTTTCTGTTTTGCAGAGACACGGAGCGACCGACCCGGTTGCTCCTTCTTAGATGAGGCCCTGAATACGAATGAAAGGACGTTTCCGAATAATGAGTTTGTAAGAATATGGATGTAATTGCCCGTAGCCTGATATTCTAACGCTTTGTTTAAGTGATCAAAACCACGAGATCTCTCAGTAAAGCCAGCCACTGAACTGAGTATAGGACAGACGACCTCTGGGATAAGAAACAGGAATGCTAGTCGCTTAATTTTAGCGATCGATAGAAAATTCACAGTTAGTTTAATTGAGTGTATAGTAACAAACTAAGCATGGTGCAACCATAGCATTCACATACACAAAACACGATTAAATACGAATTGCGTGCGTCGTTTGTTTTCCTACGTGTTATGGTACACCTGTATCTATAGACATGAACGTTACGTCAGGTTAAGAAAATAATTCCTAGCCCTTGCACTGTCAGTTTGGTTGGGATTCATGGGAAATATTCTAGTGATAATACTTGTGCTGCTTCGTAAGAGATTGCAGTTGGAGTGTAGCTGCGAATTCAAGTGGCAGTGTTCAGCTCTGGTAAGAGTCCGACTGAAGATTGGAAGCCTACATTGAAATATCGATTGAGAGTAAATACGCCTGCTTAAGCCTACACGCGGCACAATATAGCAGGAATAATACACGAGTAAGTAAAACTTTTCAGAGTATACAGGGTCTCATTGTTACATGACTTATTGTACAGAATGGTTTTTGGTCATCAAAATATTTTAAAAAGCTTACATGAAAATATAGGTCACGCGGTAGCGTAGTTGGTTCAGTCACTATGCTACAAGCCGGAAGGTCGCGGGTTCAAGTCCTGATGAGGTAGTTGGATTTTTTCAATTGACCTAATCCTTCCAGCATCACTATGGCCCTGGGGTCGACTCAACCTCTAACAGAAATTAGTACTAGGAATATTCTTTGAATATTACTGGGGGTAAAGGGCGGCCGGCGAGTAAGACTGACAACCTTGCAGCCACCTATGAGCCGATTGTCTAGAAAATGTAGGAACCTCAACATCTCACAACCCTATGGACCTCCAAGGCCTGTTATAGGGATATTTTACCTTTTTTTTTTTTTACTTATATACCCTGAGAGCCTTCTTTATAAGTTACAACTATTCGAATTTCAACTTCCTCAGCTTAACGGGTTGTGCATAAAAGGATAACAAACAAAATGTCTATTAATAACCTATTTATTTTCGCCTTGGTACAAGAAGTGCTCGAAATGACCATCTTTACCGACATATAACTCAGCTTTGCGCGAAAAAGAAACTCGCAAGCATTCGACATTCCCGGATGTACTCCTGATTTCATTTACATTCTTTTGAATTCCAAGTCACAGTTCCCCCTAGTATCGACTGTACTGGTGGCGTAGATCTTGGGGTTTTCACATATCCGCAAACAAAAAACTGAGAAACCCCCAGTCAGATGAGCGTGCAGGCCAGGAAAGTGGAGCTTCACGTCCGTGACCAATCCAGCGCCCAAGATAAATTTCTGACAGTCATTGACATACTTTATAACTGCAATGTGGAGAAGCAGCGTCGTGTTGAAACCACTGGTGAAAGCGCGTATTGAAGGGCGCGTCTTCCAATGAAATATTTAAATGTGTTCGAAGACAATTGAGGAAATAGCAGTTACTAACTCGTGCCGGTAAAATGTGCGGGCCTATGAGGGAGTCAACTAAACTTCCAACGCACATGTTGATGGAAAACAGTCGTTTCTGATGGCGTACTTTCCAGAACGTGACGGCATGATCTAACATTTGCTAATGGTTACCTGTAAGGCTATTTAAGAATGGCCCTCAAAGTATATGTTCATATGGATTCATTTACTTATTTTGATGCCCAAAAATCAACCTCTAAAATATGGCGTGCAATAATAACACAGGTGGGTGAACAATATTAAAATAGATCTTAGAGAGATAGGATGGGATGGTTTGGATTGATCTGGCTCAGGATAGGGACCAGTGGAGGGCTCTTGTGAACACGGTAATGAACCTTAGGGTTCCATAAAATGCTGGGAATTTCTTGAGTAGCTGCGCAATTGGAGGTTTCTGAAGAAGGGCTCAGCTCCATGAGTGAATAATGACAGAGCCTGCACATACAACATATATACACACACACAAGGTCACAGAAGTTTCACACGTATATTCGTGGGTAAAGCTGGTTACTCGGCAAATTGACGCCGAAGATTAAGAATTCTCTGAGATGAATAGTAATACGGCTTACTAGGGTTGTTGCCAGTTTAGATATTTTTGGTTGTAAGACAATATCCGTAGAGTGAATTCTCTTATACATGAGCAACAAGTTATGTTCTATTTAACAAAAGGTAAAAATTAGCCTCTACTTAATGAAGCACCACGCAATGAAGACGTCGGCACTTAGATTGACGTAAGTGATCTGCTTCACGCCCCGGCTGCTTTACTCCGTGGGAAAGAAATTCCACTACCAGTTGCTTATGAGGCAGTGCAGGAGCCAGGACCGGTCTAGACGCTCTGGATTAGAGGAAAATCCGCCTTGATATACTGTGGATCAGTAAATGGAAGCGAGTGACAATTCGACTAAACTCGCTCCCATGGTAACACTTCTATCTCGTATTCGGTAGGTGTCTGATTCGAATTCCGGACGGGATACAAACTATCTTGAGAGGTTCTAGTGGTTTTCCTCATTTATTCCAGGCAAATGCTGGAACAGTTCCTCCATTTATATCAAACAGCATCCTTCCACGTCCAGCCATATTCACTTTTCACTGTCATCCAATCATCCTTCCTCATACAGTAAGAGTTATTGACAGCATCGTTGCATAAAATACAACTAAATAAAGAAGATATAATTCCGATATTCACCCCAATAGTTAGCATTCAGTCATGCACATGAATATTTGGAACATCATCATCTTCGAATTGCTGCCAAGAAATAACCATCAAACAGATAAAATCTTGGAAAGATACGAAAGGTTCCTACCATCAATATTAAAACAGCCTATTTTTTTGGCCGAGAGATTCTTTCGTTCTTAAAGTTACAAATGTTGGGTCCGTTAATTTATTTCATGTTCCTAAGTGCGTTCATTAGAGTCATAATTAACTAACAAATAAATACAAAGATTAAGCCTCGTTTGTAATTTTCTTGCAGAGTTTAATTTAAATTCGAACATCTGTGTCAGGCTTTCAACCTAGGGCGTTTGAATTCAATTATAACCCACATGAGTACACTAAAGTTGAATTAAAGAGAAACAAAGGAGTTGACGCAATGCTTGGGGTGTGGTGATGCAGAGAAATTGAAAAGAAAACGTGGTATATGATTCATACATGTGTCAAAAGACAGTGACGCATATTGACATACTAATTGTAATTTAACACGCCCAATGACTATTTTCCAAAGAAGTAAACAAAAACTTGGTTTCTTAAACTATGTTCTGCGGGTATTTGGAACTCCTTAAGGAGCATAATTCATTACGATCACGTGCTTAAAAAGAAGTTCTTGTTAAAAATACAACACCGAAGTTATTTCGTTCCTTAGAAATTAATCCAAATATACGATATTGAAACGTACAACTCGCCCAGATATACGTTACGGAAAACAGACTGGGCGACTTCTAGTTGCTAGAATACGATACGTCACCTAGAAACTAAAAACAAGAATTTCTGGAAATAACTAACCGCCTCCTTTCCTTAGATAAGACACGGGTCGCATAGAAAACGACGCACCCAACAATTCTTCTATTGTTGTCTGTGTATTTGTTGTCGCGGTAATTTTTTTTGCCGAGTCGTTGCCTAGCAACAATAGGGGATAAACATACAGACACACAGACTGACGGGAGGGACTTACGAATTACGCAGTTAAGATGGGCTCAGTAGACGTAATACACATGCCTGATTTCATAAAGACTGGCCAAGGCATTCGAAGGTTAATACATACACAGCATGGCGATCGCATAGCCCTACTTTAATTTTTTCAACATAAGGAAATTAGGCTAATAAAATTACAAAATATTTGTCCACACAACTGATACATTTGTCAGTTTAAGTCGTGTTAGAAGTACAACAATGTATGAATAGCTTCCGTGTCCTACGTATTGAAATGCTTATCATGGTAAACAAAGTTTCGTAATTTACATCTTTTCTAGGTTTACATCCAAAAACGGCAACCATAAAATAGTATTTCTAGAGCCATAGTTATCAGCATGGAGACAGCGACTTCAGGAGGTGTCGACAGGAGCATGGAAGCTTTCCTTCAGGAAAGGGCGCAACAGCTGTTCCTACTGACTGACCAAGAACGGAAAGGATTCATCGTGAAGCGAGATATGCAGGTACAGCTTCATCTAATGACTGACCCTGGCAGTAATGACCGGTAATGACTGTTACTGAGTGACGAACTAGGCAGTGCTGTGTTGCCAGTCAGCTGAAACGAGAGGTTATGTATTGCTGAAGAAGGTTGTTCTTACTCTCAGCCTTTTCCTTTTCAGTAGAAACTGACGGCATAGCACCCGCCCGCCACCGAACGCGATTGTTAGATAATTGCAACCACCTCCAACCCTTACAAGTTCTCTCCTCAAGTTTTGTCTTCATAACATCCTCCCATCTATTCCTAGCTTTCCTAAGCGAATCCTTCCCTTCAGTCGGTTACATTGCTTCTGGTCCTTGTCAGCACAGCCATTCCTGGCTTGAGGTCTCGTCGCGATATATGATCAAGATCTTGTTCTCTCCTAGACATGTATTATTTAGAAATGGGGCCTCCTCTTAGACGAGGGGAGTGGTCGGTCTTTCCGTATAAGCGCTAGGCTTGTTGCTCAGAACGAGTATATCCGTGCTGTCACGGCATCCAGACAACTATGGACTCTCTGCACCCTTTGTCACTGCACTATACTGTGTAACATTTATACTGTAGCGTGTAGAGCCGTTACTATGCAACGATGGCGAGCTAAGCAAATATGCCAGAGCCTTTTCTACGCAACGGCTCGATAAACACGTTCCCGCAGCAAGAGACACGAACACAGAAATGGTAACGCAACAGGAGAACGGTGTTTTTTATGGTCCGAGCCGCGGTCGTTGCCACGCAACGGCGCAACAGACACATCTTTGCGGCAATGAATCCAGACATATCAAAAGAAGAGTTGTATTTTCTGTTGGCTCGTGCCAAGATGTTATAACCGGGGCGGTTTAGGCAGCTAGTTAGTCGCAAGAGTGCTCAGTTGATAGGTGGTGAAGATAAGACTAGGAGGTTGGTATGAAATGGCCGTGTGTTAGTTACAAGAGTGTTCACTTGATAGTCAGGCTGTGAAGAGAAGGACTTTGTATGTGATATCTGGAGTGCGTAATTCAGTGAGACTGTTATAGTTCCTGTGTTAGAATCCGTTGCCGGGAAACGGCTAGTGGGGATATCAATAGACTGAGGACAGTGGTCTGTGTGTCAATGATCTGTAAACTGTATTCACGAATCGTGAATGCATAAGTGGTCAATAAATCGAATAAACAATCCGAACCCCGTCTATACTCACTCATACACGTGACAATATATTACATACAGAGGGTTTCTATTAATGAAGACTTGTACAGCAGGTTATACTTTAACTTATTTAACCACTCCGACACCACTATTAGTCAGCTGATCAGTCATAGACCTGCCCCCCTCCAAGGTTAAGCCTCTTGTACTTCTTTGGGTTCTCGTCTCCCGCACATGCGAGCTGGAATCTCCACCCATGTTACCCTTCTTGCTCTGATCACACTAATTAATATTCGACGAAGGGTATAAATTATTAAGCTCCTCATTGTGTAACCTTCTCCAATGTCCTGTCACTTTCTTCCTCTTGCGTCGAAGTATTTTCATCAGCACCCTGTTGTCAAAATTCCCCACCAATATCCTTCCCCTAAGGTGTGATAAGAAGTTTCATACGCTTACAGAACAGGAGAGAGAATGTGAGTTGTTTGTGTTAGTCTTTATATTTCCGTATGGGTAGAAGCTTCACTTCGGGAACTCAAAATCTGATCATAAAACCCAACACTGATATAAATACAAATTATGGGTTCCAGGAAGTTTTTCTTAATAAACAACATGACGACACAGAGACTTGTTGGCATCCACTTATCGTCAAAATTGGTACTACTTACAACCCGTGAGTGATATTCTTTGTTGTCGCACAGTGTTATCAGAATCTCAGCCAGCGCTATAAGGACACGAGTAGATCAACATTCTGAACTCAATGCCCGCAAGCATTCACGAATCCGTTCTTCTCTTCATTTATAAATTCGCGTTTAAACGCAACTTCATCTTCTTCGTGAAGATCTTGAGATCCGCATGTCTTCATACAGAAGAACGAAATTGGAAGTGTCTAAATATAGGGCCGGCCACGGTAGCCCAGCGGTCTAAGGCATCTACTGTCTTCGCTCGCTTGGAAACCGGGATCGTGGGTTCGAATCCCACTCAGGGCATGGATGTTTAGTTTGTGTGTGTGGGTTTTCCTGTGTTTGTATACAGGTAGGGGCCTTGCGACGAGCTGATCGTCCTCCCAAGGAGTCCTACCGAATGTGTAAGATCGAGAAAAACCGAACTGAACGGAGAAGTTCATGGAGGTAGGCCTAGGCACACTGGGGCTGTAGTGCCAAGGGGGGGAAAAATAGGAGAATAAATTAGAGCGTAAAACAACATTTGATTAAATATGTTTGTTCCAATTTTTCTGCAATTAAATTGACTGGGAAGTATCTATGTACTTCTGTCATTCAGATGACAGATGCATGACTCACGATTCATATGTATTTACGGCGGTGTGTTAATGTTACCGTTTCACTTCTGTGGCCACTTGCTCCCCTGATGGCCGGTCTATGGAGCACTTGGATATAGTTACGTTACGGGACTCTCGCGGGCTTACAGTGTAGCTGCAAATGGGACGATGTTTTCATGTGGTGATAACAATGATGATTTCTTGTAGTCTAAGACGCTGCCAATATCTCGAACTACATAGTGTCGAATGGTAGGATGATTAGTGAGTAAAGAATTGTAAAGTATTTCGGAGGAAGAGGTCATGGGCTCTTCAAGGTAATTCCCGTCATTTTCCTGGAGGAACTGAAGAAAACAACTAAAGTCCTCACTAAGGATAGTCGGTTTGCTGGCCAAGATTCTATCCAGGCACTTCCTGAATGCAACTGACTGCAGAGCATGACCGCTGTATCACCCTAATTGGTGGCGATGGTGATTGTGACTTTAATGCCTACGACGAAAGAAAACAAACTCCGTGGCCTGTAGTCCACAAGCGAACTCCAAGCGACCGCCGCTTGTCGGCGAAGTTAGTGTCAACTTTAGCGGATAGAGGGTGTCACGTGGTCAGCACAGTGGTTCCCCACGGCCGTTAGTCTCGCTTTTCTAGACCGGATTACGACAACAAAAGCAACGAGAATGACTTTGAGGTTAATAATTACAATAGTAAACAAGAAGTTCTGGTAAGAATTATTCGCCTACTTTCCTTTGATACGACACGGACCGCACAGAAAGCGTCGCGTCCAACAGTTCTTCTATCGCTGCGTGCGTATTTGTTGCCTGGCAACGATAGGGAATACACATACAGACACACAAACCGATGGAAGGGAGTTTTTAAAGACTCCGTTGAAATAGTCTCAGGTGCCATTATATACATCCCAAGTTTTATAAAGTTTGGTTCAGACATACAAAAATCGCTAAGAGGGGATGCACAGACATATAGGCAGAATAGTGATCTCATAGGCCTACTTTTATTTTTTCAATATAAGGACAGTAGGTTAAAAGGCAAATCTAGGATTTGAGGTTCTCACAGGGGTGGTTATGAAGATTACTATCTTCTGCGATACAACGCCGTGTAGTCCACTGAAAGTCAACCGAAGTTTAGAAGGAAAACATCTCCACATTCAGGTTCTAATAAGCCCAACAAGATACCAGCGTGAAAGCAGGCGCTCGGCTTATTCGAACCTGAAGAAGGGGGCGAAATTGTTCTCCGATATGTCGGTTGGCTTTCAGCGGACTACACGGCGCTCAGTATTCATTAAAAGGGCAAATTTTCCTAGTCTTAATCAATTAAGCACTACACCATGAAGACGTACGGGGAGTGGAGGTATAGTTCCACAGTTCTTGACCTCAGCACTAGATGGATGTGAGTTCTCAGCTTCATGCTCCGCCCATGCTGAAGCCAGGGATGAAGGCACCAGTATTCATTCGATATAAAGATGTATGGGCCCCAGGGCCCCCGTAGCCAGTCGGCATCCTGACCGAGCTATCCCGGCTCATATTCTGAGGCACTGGTGAGATTTGATGTTCTCGTAGCGGTGAGCATCAACATTACGGTATTCCGGCATGGGACGCAGTGTAATTTGATATATGGGTGACGTTTCGGGAGGATCTGCTGTCTCCATCTTCAGAGTAGTAGAGGTAACCTGAAGATGGAGGAAGTAATTTTTTCTTAAACCTTGGCACCCATGTTCCAAACTACACGCCGCATTCCAGAAGACCGTTATACTGAACCATTTGTTTTGAAATATTTTAATAATGTGGCATATTTGCTCAAAGCAAAAACTGCGGAGCCAGAGAAACGGCCATTGCTAGAGAACGGCTCTGAAACAAAAGCAATTTCTGGGCAACAGCCGTGAAACAAACAGCGGAATAATGTCCGTTGCTAGGCAACAGATTCTTAATAAGCAACAATTTTACAGCAACAGAGGAGCGATGTTTTCTGTGCCGTCCGTTCCGAGATATTATAATCGGGACGGTTTGAAGCAAGAAGTTCAGTGCTCAGTAGAAAGTCAGGCTATGAAGAGAAGACTTTATTTGTGCAGTAGTTCCAGTGATATCTGGCGTGTGTAATCCCGCGAGACTATTATAGTCACTTGTAGTTACGATCCGTAAGTGGTCAATAAATCCAATATCCAATCCAAAAGCCAGTCGAGAGTCACTCACACATGTGACAATACCCATCTGTAGACACTTGAAAGAGATCAGTCAATTCGCCTACTTCAGCAGGCTTCAAGACACAGGTTGACTGTTACTGAGCTGACCGACAGACTGTGCCGTTAGAGTTTATCAGTGTAAGTAGATAACTTGCACTTGTCGACCTTGTAACGTCGTCACACCTGAGCAACAGCAATAAGGCGTTCCTGCACCTGGGAAGTCCCTCGCTCCTAAGAAAATATTTTAGTGTATTTCATACCATCAAATATTCCCCTTTCGTCTGTGGATATGCAACCAGGTGGGGAATATTCACAACTTTCATTCGGTTTAATAAACCGAATAATCTGCTAACATTTGGAAGGATCAACAGCCGATCATGGATGGGCACGTAGTTAGGTAGGTGGGTAATATTAGAATGCTGTCTTCAGAGATGTGATTCCATATAGTTTTGTAACAGGCACCAACGTTTCGGAGGAACCCACAGCTTCTGTATTCAGCGTAGGAAGGTCTTCTACCTTGCAGAAAGAAAAAAAAAACTTGGTATTTGTTTGCTAATCTACATGGCCCCAATCGCGTAGATTAAACATTCGGGCTCGAAAGATACAAGGATGGATGGTTGGATAGATAGATAGATAGAATCATTTCCTTGATAACTCTCGTAGTTTTGTTAACACCAAAATGAAATTTGCAGCGAATGTTAGAAATTGCAAACTGCAAGCTTGCAGATTGCAGCTAAGAGTCAGTTTGGTGAAATTCGCGCATCTTAGTCCTTAATGAAGCTCATCTATGCTGCGAACCAGAATACGTCATACTTTGTGTGGATAACCTTGCGGAATAAAAATCCTATATTAGTATGTTTGAATTTCCCAGTGGTGTAGAGAGTCGTGACACAAACTATATGACCGTGAGTCCCGCGGAATCCGGAAAAAAGAATGACTTTCCTGCTGAGGGCCAGCAGCAATTTACCCGACCCAACCCAGCGGCGTATTATCACCGGAAGTATGCTGAAAATAGAATCGAATTAATTTCTGATGATGACGTAACCGTCTACATCACTAACTAAAGACAACCCTTCCCTCCCCCTTCTTGTAGTGGATGAGAATTATCTGTCGTTCAGTACAGTCTTCCACGGTTTTCTACCTGTTGACGCTGTTGACCTTCCCTAGGATGTCGTTTTGCAACAAAGACTAAAGGGGAAGTAGGCTAAACATTTATCGATGTCTGTGTACTCGCGAGTGGATCTCCGTGGTTCCTGAAGTAATGTTTCTGTGCCAGGGCATTGATGCATAAGTGGCCCCGAGATATTAAATATTCTTACCTCAGACATACAGCACTCTACATAATTACAATAATTACCCAGCATGGGCCTGTTTACAGTTTGTATGTTTATATAAATAATGCTGTAGATGTAACGGAGCATTAATCTTCTGCGTGCAACAGTGACACATGTTTCTGAATATAATTGCAACAATCGTATTCTACAGTTTTGTTGAATTTTGTCACATGCTCTTAACATGCTTGGCAGTGGGTGAGACAACAAACTGCTGTGTTCATTTAAGACGATGATCCTCGTCTCTGCTGTTCTCTGAGAACCGTGGCCATTTTATGACAGATGCCTATTCGTCTCTTTTATTCGCCTTTCGTCTCCATCACTTCACTTCCAATACACTTCTTCATTCTTCTCCCCAGATTATCCATCCGGCATCCACTATGAGGTTCCTTAACATGTATGAGTTCCGACGTGAGCTTTACGCCCAAGCCCCAGTAAGATGGACCGGAAACTGCCATTCGGCTGGCCCATTTCCTTCGAGGTGTTAGGATAAGTCCCCATTAGCATAGATCTCCAGGTGGTCTGAGCACGCAAACCTTCCCACGACTTTAAGGTAATGGAATGATGGATCTTCAGCTTCCCCGTACGTCTTCATGGTGTGGTACTTAATTCATTACGCACAGGGATAACTTGATATTTTATTCAATGAAGGACAATTACAGTATATGTCAAATTAATGTTATTTAAATGATAAAACGAACCTGTTTCAAATGCTTGTTTTCGTATTTAAAGCTATTTATTGTCGGCAAGACTTCAAGTGATGTGTGACAGAGGAATTTTTTTTCCTTATCACTACAGCCCCAGTGGGCCTAGGCCTACCTCCATGAACTTCTCCGTTCACTTCGGTTTTTCTAGATCTTACACGTTCGGTAAGACTCTTTGGGCGGGTGAGCTACCTGTACACAAACACAGAAAAACGCATACAAACATCCAGGCCCTGAGTGGGATTCGAACCCACGATCCTGGCATCCGAGCGAGTGAAGACAGTGCATGCCTTAGACCGCTCGGCTACCGTGACCGGCGACAGAGTTAATTATGTAAGGATAATATTACGGGGCAGATTGGCATACCATTAACTCTTTAGACTCGTATTCATGAGCAGAATACACATCAACTATGAACTACTGTGAAAGCACAAAAGCAGTAAAGTAAGAAGGCAAAATTACCCCTGTGCGTAACTACGTAATTAAGGACTGCGATATGAAGGCGTATTTGTGAATAGCTCTAGTTGGAGGTGAGTAGTCTGGTTCACGTCCCGGCCGCTTTATCCCCGGGGAAAGAGCCTGCGGTACCCAATGTATACGAGGCATCTGACAGTTTTGTTTATATTAAGCATTAAAATATATATTAAAATATATTTTTACACTTTTTTGGAATTATGCCACTTTCTCATCATCTATCTTCTGACCTTCCCAAGTGGAGGCGGTTTAGAATAATTCCATTGTAGCCCTGCAAGTCATAGAAGGCGACGAAAAGGGAACCCGGTGCCTGGAGGTACATAATTGGGCCACCCTGTCACGGGGGGACATAAATACTGAGACCTGGTCCTCCAGGTTGGGTGTTGGACATAAGGCTGAGGGCCTTGCTCTGTAAAAAGTTCTTGTGAAATCCAAAGTAATGTAAAACCGGCGGTTATTTGGCAGAACCTTCTAAGGAGAGCTTGTTTTGCCAATGATCTGATCGTAATAATTTTGATATTTATATGTTGACAGAGAATGCGCAGTGAGATTCCGCTCACACCAGAGCAACTTGAAGCAGTGTTTGACTCCTTGGATGTGAACAGAAATGGTTACCTCACAATTGAGCAATTCCTCTCTGGCTTTGGTGAGTATAATAAAATACTTTAAAACAGAAGAGCCAACATATCAGTTTCAGATATAATCCTGTTCTCCAATGCTATAGGGCAGAATTTTGAGCCTGCATTTAAAATATGTAAACATTGTGTGAGACTGGAGACTTTCACAGCAGTGAGTATGAATATTATTGCCTTCTAGGTTATTTATTATCATTCATCATATACTGTCAGTTACAACATAATAATAAATCACATTATTGATTACAACTGTATGCAACTCAGCCTTAAAATGTCTTCTAGGATGTCTCTTCAAAAGAGTCATCAGTTATTACCCTGAACCGCATCATGACCCTGGATGCCAGCAGGTTTGAAACCAAATATTTGTCCACACCTAAATTTCTGTAAATAGATTAAAACTGAAAAAAGAACCATAACAAATATTAATACCAAATTTTAAGATTATATTAATAATAAATTTTGTAATACCTTCTGTGTTTCAGTATGCATACCTGCAGCATCAGGGCGATCCATAAAAATATTCTTAATTACATATTCTTAAATATATTGTCACGTGTTGGGTGACGATATATGGGATTTGGATTGGTGAATAGATTTATTGACCACTTACAGGTTGTAATCACAAATAATTATAACAATATCGCTGATATATACACTTCACAAATCACTACACATTAAGTCTTCTCCAGCCCGCAATGCCTTCACTAGACGTTTCCTGGTAACAGGTTTTAATAATGGAGATTCTTCTGGCTCTGGCTCATGTCCTCTCTTTACAGCCTCCCATACATAACTCAGTCTTGACTAACTTTGTCCCTTGCTTTGTAACATGTCAGCATGGACCATGATGAAATACCCTCTTTCCATTGTTGTAGTCCAACTTTTACATTATTAAGAATCTGCTGCCTAGCAACAGGAACGTGTTTACTTAGTCATTGCCCAGAAATGATTGTTGTTTACAAAATCACCGTTTAGCAACGGATCTATATGCTAAAATGTTTGTAAGCAAATTTTCTGCCCCCTTCCCTCACAGAATCCTGACAGTGTCCATGGCCATGACCCCCCTCCTCCCAACATGTCCCTTTTCCCATATTTTTTAAGTTAATTAGCCTAACAAGTATTGACATTAGCGTACATGATGTTTTTAGTGGTTAGTGGCATTACTTCTAAGACAACATGACATTTTGGCCTCAGGACCTATGGTTCACCATGCTAACATTCAGTTTCAATGATTATAACTGTTGTAATGTGAGAGGATGATTCAAATAAGTACAGCAGGAACTTCATAAAGTATAGCAAATGGAAAACAAATTAAAATTTGGGCTACTTTACTTAAGTAAAATCCACTGGTAACACTGAGTTCATGCACTGTTCTGACCGTTGATGTTATCCACAAACAGATGATGTGTAAAATGGAAGTACCCTTGCACTAAAACAAGTTCATGCATACAGATTATGGTGTGATTTGTAAATAGTTCCTTCTTAGAACAGAAGGGACTAAACTGATAGAAATTCATGGTATAATGTCAGTTCATTATAGTGAACTGTGACTGAGTAAACAACATCTCTACGAGTGACTGGATAAATTGGAGAACAGAATTAAAAATGTTGAAGATTCTATGTGTCCTGAAAATGAATAGCAAGACCATTGCATTATGAATTAAATGATACATCCAGCAAGGAATGTCAATGTCTATTCTACATATAACATTGTTCACTACAGACAGACGTGTACTTGATGGATTCCTTGGTGTTTAACACCAGAACTGATGTACCTTGCAACTTGATGCATGCTTTGTGCCTTTCAAGCAGTATGAGCAGGAAGGAGAAGACTTCGTGGAACATACAGTGGATAATGATCTGTCCGAGGTGCACTACTGCATACTAGAAAGCAAAGCACAGAAGTAGGCCTATAGAACAGCAATTCATCTCCACCAATGCTATTCTACACCCAAGCATCAGCTATAAAATTGTTCTCCCATATTGGGATCATATGGGCCTCATTTTGGAGCACTACATGAAGAGATGAGAGACTGCAGCATACTCCAGTCTATCTGAGAAATGTCTGCTGTTTGCTTGTAACGTAATTATTAAAGAGCTGAGGTTTACTGGTAAACAATTCCTGCATAAAGCATGATCAGACTCACTTTTATACCAATCAACCAATCATTTTGTGCTGGAAATGAGTGGGTAGATTAGATTCGACATATTTTCTTACTGACCAGACATCAGGTCTACCATTTTCATCTTTGTTTCCACTGAATGTGGTACTGAAAGGACGCCACTCCTCGTCAGTATGGCAGATTGTTCAAGTAAAAAATATCTTGTATTGGGATATACTTCAGCTGATTCTGCTCTAGAGGAAGCGTGTAGAACAAAAATGGGAACTACAATGAATTCACTGGGGGAACTTTTCACAGCAGTGGCTATAAAGATTACTGATTTCTGGGGTGTGATGCTGTATAGTATGGTAGAATTCTTCTGCCCTGAAAATGGAGTCAGCAGATTCCTCTGAAAGATTAGTAACGTCTTACTGGACTACCTAGTGTCAGACCCCACAGGACAGTAATCTTCTACAATAATAAAGTATGTAAAATTGCAAACAATCTATTTATTGAATGTTTGTATTCTAAACTGAACAACATTCTTCGATGGTGATGATGTCATCATCATAATCACTCCTGTCATTATTTTTGTTGTTTTTGTTGGCATCGTTGTCATTATTGTTGTCAGCGTCATGTGTTAAACTGAAAGTTGGATACTGCGAACCTTTCATAATGAAAAGGTTCAAATAATTTTCATTGCAGGTGAATTCATAGCTTCACATCCAACTGATTACTGGGAGGAAGGCAGTATCATGGAATCACCTCAAAAGGAGATCCAGGAACATGATGAACCTATTGAGTATCTTCTGAGAGAACTGGAGTCCATCACCGTGCTACACAGGTAGAAGTGAATGTGCTTACTTGCGCACTACTCTCTGGTTTTAAATAAAATGTAATTTGCTTTGCTGACTTAATAATTGCATATAAAAGAACTCTGAGGAAAGTCATAATATATTATCACGTGTATTAGTGACTAAGACGCAGGTTTGAATCGGTGAGTCGATTCATTGGATAGTCACTAGTCATAACTACAAATAACTATAACACTTTCAAGATTACTGTAATTACAACACATATATAAAGTCTTCCATATCTGCTTTAATTAGTAGATACTAGATAACAGATCTAAACAGTGGCTATTCCTCTGCAAAGGTTTCCTGGCACTCAGTCACCACAGTACTGATTGGCTACAGGTTGGAAAACTAGACTTTAATTCCTGGCACCAACAGGGATTTTCCCCTTCACTTCCATGTCCAGATTTACTCTGGATCCATACATATCCTATCAAATACATAACGGCTCTCTCTTTTTTTGCCTCCTTCCCTTATTTTGATTAAATAAAATTGGGCTTATGCCATCTCCATGCTGTCTGCATATCCCATCAACTTCTGAATGACTGAACCAATCTTCATTGAGCTTTGTATGTATGTAATGACACCTGAGTCCATCTTAACATGTACATCATAAATCCGTCCCATCAGTTTGTGTGTCTACATGTGTACCAGATACTCCTTGCTAGAAAACAAGCAAGTTGTTTCGACTGGTAAGAGTTCCATCCTGTATTTGGGAGATGGCCAGTTTGGGTCTTGATTCGGGCAGGGGCTCAGGCTTTTCCTGGTTTTTACTAGTCTGTCCTGGAAATTACCATGATATTATGTGCAATTAGCCTATAATTGTTCCTTCCATATCCTCTCTAATTCACTATATACTGTTATCCAGCTGTCTGATGTTATATTGTCTGAAGCACTGGCATCATAATTAAGGTAAAAGGTAAGGTGCCGGTCACAGTAGCTGAGCGGTCTAAGGCATGCGCTGTCTTCACTTGCTCAGAAGCCGGGATCGTGGGTTCGAATCCCACTCATGGCATGGATGTTTGTGTGCGTTTTTTTGTGTTTGTGTACAGGTAGAGGCCTTGCGACGAGCTGATCACCCGCCTAAGGAGTCCTACCGTATGTCAAAGATCTAGAAAAACCGAAGTGAACGGAGGTTCATGGAGGTAGGCCTAGGCCCACTGGGGCTGTAGTGCCAAGGGGGGAAAAAAAGGTAAGGTAAAGTTGTCCCTGTGCTTAAATAATTAAGCACTACCCTATGAAGAAATATGGGGGAATGAATGTATAGATCCATGCATTCTTGATATCAGCACTAAATGGAAGTGAGTGGTCAGCTTCACACCTGGCTGCTTTACCACTTGGGGAAGAGCCCACGGTACCCACTGAATAGGCGGCCGTATGAGCCCCAGAACTGGTGTGAACAACATAGAAAGGAGAAAAATCTTTCCTTTGCGGTATTTGAACTCCAACCCCTCAGCCGTCCAGCCCATAGCCAGTTGCTATACCAACTGTACTATCCTGCAATATGGTATCTTCATTAAGTATAAAGTAAATAAAACGGGGAAGCAGAAAAAGCTATTAATAAATAGTTCAGACGAATTTTATGTCACTAATTCAGTGTACTTTAGACTCTCACTGAAGCTGTTATCGTGTAAAATCCTCTTTATTTAAGAGTTAAGCATATAAGGTGTCATTAACTGTGAATGTGTTATGTTACATAAAAATGTTTTTTTTCTTTCTTCTTTTTAAGTGTGGAGGTGCTAAGACATCTGTGTCAGCATGTGGAGAGGGAAACAAATCCCCACATCCAGAATAATTTGGAGATCTTCCTTCAGCAACTGGTGATGGACCTAAAAAGATGCCAGGAGGAACAGAGGAACTTGGAGGAAGCTCTGAAATTAAGGGATGATGAACATCAAGCAGAAGTAGGCAAATGATGTATATGTCTGATCATAAGGTGGAGTTCCCCCTTCCCCCAAATACTGCTTAGAAAAGAGGGGTCACCTTATTTTTTGGTCCTTTTGAATGAATAGGAAGATGAGTATGAGGAATAATCTTCAGAACTAAATGACATTAAATTTTATCAAAGGCCATTTTTTCCTGATTTTCTCTTTGAAAATACAGAATGTCACTTTGTATTTGGATTTACATGGGATCTTGACTATTCAGACAGAGTAATCTGGATGTCTCTTCAAATAATAAAACTATATAACTTATGCAAGATTCGAGGTTCCCATGGCATTTACAATGAGACTTGTTGTCTTCTGGGGTGTGAAACTGTATAGTCTAAATTGTTACCAGTGTTCTGGAGGAAACTGTTGCCTCCAATTTCGGTGTTCAAGAGTAAAGTGGAAAGAAGTGATATGGTAATAGGGACAGGAGGAAAAGTGAACCAACAGGAATAATGAAAGTAGTGTGATGAATATTTTGCACTTGTAAAGAACAAACAACTTCATTTTTTCTTGTGGACATAAGGAGTTTCATTTTAACTCAAATTTGTATTAAAACTGTAAATATTCAGTAATTCTGTGTTTAATGTTGCTGGCAATACAGAGGTTGTAAACTAAACAATAAATTCTGGGGAATGCTAATCAACTACTTTCCTTTGATACAACACAGACCGCATAGAAAATGATTCCTCCAACAATTCTTCATTACTGGGAGAATATCTACAGAGTTGTTACATAGCAACGATAGGGGGATACACAGACAGACCTACATACTCTCCTTTGATAAGACACTGACTGCATAGAAAATGGCTCATACAACAATTCTTCTGTTGCTGTGTGTATTCCCTACATTGGGAATATGTTTGATGAGATGTTGCCTATCACCTAAAGGAGGGATACCTTTAATAGAGCCGTTGCCATGCAATGACAGGAGGAATACACATACAGACACACAGACTGCTGGGAGGGACTTATGAAGTACACCGTTGAGATGGATTCAGTTGCCATGATACACATGCCAAGTTTCATATAGATTGGTGTAGGCATTTAAAAGATGATATGCGGGAGGGATACACAGACAGACAGGGTGGAGATTGCATGTCTTAGGCCGTGCCATAGCTCAAGCGGTTAATTGCTGGCTTCCCACTGCGGCGGCCCGGGTTCGATCCCAGGTCTGGTCAACTGGGATTTGTGGTGGACAAAGTGGTGCTGGGGCAGGATTCCTCTGAGTACTTCGGTTTCCCCTGCCACTCTTCATTTCACCAAATTCTCCATCATCATAATCACCCGGGGCAGGCCAATCAGTGGCTGCTGTGCTGAGTGGACCCAGTTGGATTCCACCTCCCACTAAGCGAATTTGCATAAGTCTTCTTTAGGGAAGTTGGCAAAAATGTTGATATATGACATATTAATATCACAATGCATCAGCAATTGAAATTGTTCTGTTTTTCTAGGTTCACAGATTATTTGAAGAAATGGAGACCCAGCTTCGTGAGGAAAAAAAGAATCACACACGACATGTAAGACTGCATTTTCTTCATTAATCTTAACAGTCATCATTATGTAACTTCATAATTCAGTGCTCATGCAACAGTAATTCATGTGACTTAAATTAACATCACTGAATTAGATCAGATTAAGTCAAAATATGTATTAAACAATGGTTATGGGTGGGCAGATAACATGAACAGGGAAAACATATATCCCTTGAGGACTGCTGTGTGCCTTACACTTCTGAAGCCAGAGATACAAACATACAAAAGAAACTGCAAACATATTTCACTTGATTCAGTTCCTGCAGACAGCATGATGCAGGCTCTGAAGAGTATTTATTGTCTTCCGGGATGTGACACTGTGTAGTTTGCTAGGCAGATATCAAATCTTGCATTACACACACTGCCTAGTAAATTGAATGTTATGAATTTATTTAGACCAAGACTGGACCGACAATCCCCTGTAGCCTGCCCATATGATTAATTAACCCATTTAATGCTGTGCCTCTCTACTGGGACTTTACCTGCTGGGCCTGTCATTTTTCCACAAAACCTGGATTTGTATCTTTTTACATTTGAAACAAAACTGGAAAAGAATAAGCAAAAAACAGTTGACAGTTTTTAAAGCTTCAACAAGCTACACTGAAAGTTCTTCAGAGTTCAATGACATCCTTAGGGGAAAGATGTTTATGAACATAGAAGCAAAACAGTATTCATTCTAAAAGCACTGTTTCATCCATAGATGTAATAAGGGCATATAAAGAGGAAAAATATATAGCTTGCTCATTTATAAATATTCTACCCCAAACTAAATTACTGCACAGTTCTTAAAAACACCAAGAGATAGCAAAAGAGGCTGAAGAAAGTTGTGTATGTAAAACATTACTTAACTAAACATGTTACCTACAGCTGGTCATGACACTGAGTTTAGTAATTAACTAAATAATAAATCGGCTCATTCCTTCTCTGAATACCATACATTTTGGCTTGTACTCTGTGGAAACATCTCTCCTCCTGTCCAGGAAGAGCAGAGGTTGAGACTGAGGTGCATAACCCTTGAGCAGGACCTAGCAGAGAAGGAACAGCAGCTGCAGGATGCACTGACCAGACAGCAGGAACTTGCAGAAAGAGTTCGCATGCTCAGGTCCAGAGAGATGCACATCAAGGAGGAAAATGAACGTTTGGTCAGGTCAAAGGTAGCTATTTGTCACATTAATAACATGCCTTCAACAAAGCTATGACAAAAGCAGAATTTCAAGCATTTGCTGCAGTAGACAGAGGTAAAGAACATTCAACATAGAAAATGTATTGGATTTTAAGTTCTCACACTGGTGACTATGAAGGATAGATTCTTCTGGGTTGTAATACCAAAGAGTTTGTGAGAACCTAGTGTTTGAGGAACATATTACTTGCATTTTTAGGGTCAAAGAGTAAACCAAGCAAGAAAGCAGCTGAAGCAAATGGCAAGTTGAGTGCTTAGCTTGCACCCTGTTTGTACTGACTTCTTGCTTGGATTAATCTTTTACCCTGGCGATGGACGTTATATTTTCCTCCAATGCATCGTTACATATCATTATAAAAAAGCAGACTAAAATCTTTAACTCTGAAATTAGTTCATGATAAAGTATAAATTGTAGCACAAAGATTCTAAAGCAGTAATGGGTAACCTGCAATGAGGGAACCAACCCAATATTACCATGAGTTCATTTTGTGAACAAAACACATCCTATATGTTGAATGGATGCTGGTGTCTTACAAACATTACTCTACCTGAAGAGTATAGTCTTCTGGGATATGATGTCACGCAGTCTGGTAGACGCGGTTACTGGCATTTGAGAAGAACACACCATCTCCATCTTCTGGGTTGAAGAGTAAATTGAACATGCTAGCAGCAAGCCAAGTACTGTTTTTTTATTGCTAGTGGGGTGGGACTGAGTCCCTTGTACTGGGGCCAATTCTGGCCTATTGTACCAGCCCCAGATGATAGGTGAGGGTGATTGTGGAGCAATTGGTGGAATGGAGATTGGCAGGGGAAGCTGAAGTACTCAGAGAAAACCTGCCCCAGCGCCACTTTGTCCACCACAAATCCCACTTGACCAGACCCGGGATCGAAACCAGGCCGCTGTGGTGGGAAGCCAGCGACTAACTGCTTGAGCTATGGCGCAGCCCAAGCAAAGTACTTACTCTGCTTATTCTTCACCATGAAGATAGAGGCAATACACTGGTAATATTCTACCACATTGCAGAAGATAGTCTACTATGTAGGAGCCTTAAATCTCATATATACTCCACCTACTGGTGAATTCTGATAAATATGCAGCTGGCACAGAATGCATAATTATAATGTTTTCATTCATGTCCTCTTCCGCCATATGAGAGATCACTGTGAGCAAATAATTCCCAGATGTCAGTTTCCTCCTACATGCAAGTGTGACACAGTACTGATGGGTTGCTAGTAAAAGTATTATAAATTCTTGCTAACACTGATGTTTATGATAAATCTTCTATTCTTTATGCACTGATTTCATTATTCTATTCTGACTTAGAAGGAAATTGAAGCACAACTTCAAGCACAGAATCGTGAAATTATGCAAGTACAGCGCATCCTTGATGATGTAAGGCAAAATGAAGCATGGGAGAGACGCAAACATCTTTCAACAGGATTCAGACTTGCCAAGAGAATCGTGCTCGAACAGCAAGGTAAATCTTCAAAAATTTGACTAATTTATTTAACCCTTTGCATGCCACGTCCTCACATACTCCATAGTGCAGGGCATATTTCCTAAAGCTTATATTTATCAAGGTGGTCAAGAACTACCTCACACATATGGTGCATTATCTTGATTAAAAATTCCAGCTTTTGGATTCTGTCCTGAGCCAGGAGAATCTATTCTGCACCCCCATACCTTATCTCTGCAAAACTGACTTTAATACTCGTATTTTCCTACAATCTGTGTCTAGGTATCCTGAGTGCTAAGATTAAGAACGTGTGGAACAACATTTCCTCTTCCTCATGTACATCTATTTTCTTGAAGTCTCCTAGATAAAATTATGTATTTCAAAAATCCCCTTGGCACCATCACCTTAATTTCGTAACTGCAATAATACTAGGCGAAGATTGCTGTATTCATCAATGTGCAGCCGTGCAGTTTGGTAGGTCATTACTCATTACTAACATTTTGCAGGAATGTTCCATGTGTTTTCATGGTTGTGATTATGTAATATTTTCTCACCTTTCCTAAGACCAAATGTTTTCATCATTTTATTTTCAGATACCCACTTTCTAAGATCTTCCTTTAGGGTTGAGAGGTTAAATTTTGTATCCATCTGAAGCAGCAGATAAAATTAGTTTTGTATACTTTAATGGCTGGTCACAGTAGCTGAGTGGTCTAAGGCATGCACTGTCTTCACTTGCTCGGAAGCTGGGATCATGGGTTCATTTCCCACTCAGGGCATGGATGTACAGTGTGCGCGGGCGGGCAGGCATGCTTGTGTCTGTGTGTGTACGCATGCGATTTTCTGTGTTTGTGTACAGGCCTTGCAATGAGCTCATCACCAACCCAAGGAGTCCTATCAAATGTCTAGTATCCAGTAAACTGATGCGAAACAGAGTTTCATGGAGGCAGAACAAGGCCCAAAATTGGTGCTGTAGCACCAAAGGATAAAAAAACTTTAATGTTCAGGTTTATACAGGGTGGGGCACAGAAACTTCCTTTTTTTGAAGGCGAATAAAAGAAAAATTATTGCTGATAGACAAAATTTATGATTAGCTAATGAAAGAACATACCTTAAAGTTTTAATCACGTAGTTTTAAACAAAATATCTTGAAGGTGGTGGCCACTGTTCTCTATGCACTGATGCAACCGTTTTCTGAAGTTCCCCTCTGCACGTTTCAACATGTGCACTGGAATCTGGGCTACTTCCTGCCGAATAATATTCTTCAGCTGAAGCAGGTTTGTGGGGCGATGTTTAAAACCCTTTGCCTTGAGGTATCCCCATAAAAAAATCACAGGGCGTTAGATCAGGTGAGTGAGCTGCCCATGGGATGTCACCTCGAAGTGAGATGAGCTGTCCGGGAACTTTGCTCTCAAAACTGTCATCGAAGCTCGGGCTGTGGGCCGTGGCACCATCCTGTTGGAACCAGACATTTCCTAGATGCATTTCTTCAAGAGCCAGTTCGAAAAAGTTTTTAATCATGTCCACATACTGCTGTGAATTGACAGTAACTGCATGATTGTCTTCTCAAAAAATTAAGGGCCAATAACTTCAACTCTTGACAACGCATACCATACTGTCACCTTATCCCTGTGAAGTGGCCTCTCATGGAGCTCTCTGGGATTGTTACCACTCCAATAGCGCATATTCTGCTTGTTGACATATCTGGATAGGTGAATATGTGCCTCATCACTAAAGAAAACAAGTGCGTCATGGGGTCAGGGAGTAAAGTTTCCAATAACATTTTGCACGCCATTATTCGGTTCCGGAAATCAGGTGGTGACAATTCTTGCACAACAACCATCTTATAGGGATGGACATGAAGATGTTCGTGAAGAATTCAGCGCACTGAATGACTGGATATGTCTAGGGCGACTGCATGTTTGCGAGCAGAGCGTCTTGGAGATCTCAAAATCGACTGTCTAACTGCCTCCATATTTTCTGGCATTGTAACCGTCCGTTGTCATCCTGATGATTTTTTCACCACACTCCCGGTTGTCCTAAAGTTCTCTACCCACAAAAAAATCGATTTCTGGTCGGGAACCGGAACTCTGGGCTTAATTCCAAAGCGAGTACGGAATGCATGCTGCACCGCCACATAGAAATGGTTGTTCAAAAAAAAGGCTTCGACAGCAAATGCACGCTGCACCACCACATAGGAATGGTTGTTCGAAAAATAGCCTTCGACAGCAAATGCACACTGCTCACTTGTCCACCTCATGTTTCCTACTGAGGGGTATTAGACAGAAACCTCCACGACTGCTGCGTTCACCAAGCCTATCCCCACTTTTCTGCAACCTCCCCTCCCTTCACAATGCGTCTTCACAAAAAGGAAATTTCTGCGCCCCACTCTGTAGATGAGACTGTAGCATCTTTGTAGCACAACTTTTCCCAGTTATTTACATACTACTATCCTGATGTCCAAATTTATTTATGTATACAAGTGATGAAGTATCATCACATGAACCAAGAAACAAACAGAAAGCACTAATATTATTCATGTCACCTGATACTACATAGTCCAGTGCCGAAGTCCAAACAGAACCATTAAACAATACCATAAATATATGAAGTATCTGGATATCTGATATGTTGCAGGTTTAATGCACCAGCTCCAATTGCTGCAACAGATAACCACAACACTTGAAGCAGAAGGGAAAGTGAAAATTCCAGACAGGAACTGGCAAGTTATAATTTACCATAAGTTACTTGACAGAGGTTACATAGTGTGAAATGAGGTGGATAACACTTAAGAAGCAGTTTTAATTTTTTTGAAGGCGCTATCGCAACATTAATCTGGAGAGACTGAAGAAAATTACAGCACTTGTCTCAGTCCATATAGTTAGTAACCAGACTCAGATGAAAACTAGAATAAAAGTCTAGAGAATTGTTTCTGTACCAGCCTACTTGCTGGAACTAATGGGTATGGTGTGTGTTTATGCATTTCTTTCATATGGTATCTGGCCCCATCAAGTACAACATCTCAGAATCTGAAAGGATATTAAATCTATGACTTTCACACAATTAAAGCTAAAATTATCTCTGTGTTTAATTAAGAACTATGCAATGAAAACACATGGGGGAGTGGGTATATAGCTCAAAGCATTCTTGCTAGAAAGAGCAGAGTGGTCAGCTTTACACTCCAGCTGTTCTACCTAGCATGTAAGAAACTAGGTACCCCTTGGCTAGTAGGCTTGGTGGGGCTTGTAGCCAGTCTGGAAGCTGTGAAGAAAAGTAAAACTTCTGCCTGTGATGCAACTGAGATCCCAGTTCCCTCATCATTCAGCCCATAGCTTAGCCAAATGCTGACTGAGCTATCCCGGCTTCCAATATTGGCACCATGATTTTCCAAATTCTTAGGTTGGTTATATTCAAAATTTATACCTTGTTCACGATATTTTAGCTCACTGCCAAGAATGTGTGACATCTCAGTTAATAAATTTATTTCATTGTGCTTAGTAGTGAAATTATCAATACCAACAATTTGTTTATCAGTTTTATCATCTAAAATATTGAAAAGGAGGTTGCACCCTGTGTGTTGAAATTTTAACCACATTCAGAGAGGTGAATGACTAAGAGATTTAGGCAACAGTGATGTAAACCCAACATTCAGGAATTGGCTGTAGAACCATCTTCAGTTATTGGTTTCCATTGCACTGATTGATAACATGTTGAGGTTCCCACATTTTCTAGACAATCGGCTCATAGATGGTGGCAGGGTTGTGAGCCCTAATCACCGGCTGCCCTTCACCCCCAAGTATATTCCAAGAATATTCCTGGTACTAATTTCAGTTAGAGGCTGAGTCGATCCCAGGGCCACAGTGCAGCCGGAAGGATTAGGTCAACTGAAAAATGCAATGACCTCATCAGGATTTGAACCCCGTGACCTTCCAGCTTGTAGCACAGTGCCTCAACCAACTACACTACTGCATGCCCTGATTATATATATATATAGTTGAAGCAATCAGCATTGAAACCAGAGCCCACTGAATTTCAGTCTTATTCATTGACCACCAAGTCATCAAGAACAGTACAGATTGACTAAATTGTCAAAATACAGATTATAATAAATATACCTCAGACACTGGACAGCATTCATTACACTTTCCATGCAATTAGGTGATGGTGAAGCTGTAACAATTCTATTCTTATGATAATTGTTTCAGCCAAGACAACACTGGAATTCATTCCTCCATCTCATCAGTCACATGGAATGATGCTCTGGAGAAGACACCTCCACAGTCTTGATAGTGACTTCTTTGAGGTAAACCAAATTACATTAATTTAATAGTTTTCTGTCAAATGCAACATACATACCGAATTTCTAATAAACAAGTAAAGAATTAATGAAATTGAAGAAAAATACTAATCTGTCATTGCAATGATATATCATGTGCAAGGGAAGATGATGATGATGATCATCATGATGAATTGTAGGAGGAGGTACTGGAGATACAGACTAGGCGTTGGTGATGAGTAGGTGTTGGTCTGAATGAAAAGCTGATGACGGTATCAATAAAGTCACACTGGAGAGGATGAGATGATTTCATATGAAAAACACGATGCCAATACGGAGGGGCAGGTCGTCGTGATGTGAGTTGATTGGGATGGTGGTTATGATGAAAATGTTATGGTGGGAAAGAGAACTGATGTTTTGATGATGCGCCAGAGGTTGTGGCAATGATGATAAGGAGTTGAGGATAACAGTACAGTGTTGTTGCTAAAGAGGTGAACATTATGATGTGAGATACAAAAGTGATGAGAGAATGTGCTTGTTATAGCAAACAGAGGTGAAAATGAAGTGATCACAGAGATGATAATAAGTTGGTGATAATGGGTTTATGTGATGCGCCAGAGGTTCATTTTTATAATTTCATTGCATGATTATATCAGACTATTTGTTACTAATGCTGCTTAATACATTTTCAGGAGGCTCAAGACCACGTGTGAATATGAGAAGTGCCTATTTGACTATATGTAGAATGCTTGGAGCCTGCTGAAGCTGCACCTGCAGATGCATTCTGTCTGAGGAATGCATTTTTTAAGACCTCACATAATTCAAGACAAGTTTCTCATAGGAATAAATTTGCATTATTTGAAACTTTCTGCAAAAAGTGTGACCGCACTGTATGGTACCAACATTTCCAGGGGAGTCACCAAGCATGCTGTGCCTGGAAATAATGTCACTGACACCTTTAACGAAAGTGAAATTTAGTAGCTTAGACCAAGTGAACACTCTGAATTTTGAATTTTAGTTTGTGTTCCATGTTGTTATTTTAGGGCTGGCTCAGTTGTGGCATTGTCGTGGGTGCTACTGAGATTTCTTCCAAGAGGTGGATGCCAGATAATTTGGTTACATATTATATTTAGGCCGATATTGTTGAGGAATCCATTAAAAGTTTGTGTATTGATGATAGAAAAAATTGAAGATATTAAATTTTGGTATATTTCCTTCTTTTTCAATTGCAAGTTTTTCCCAAAAATTTAAGCAGGAAGAGTGGCAAGTGTCTGTCTTCGTGGTAACTTGTTCCACCTTCCGTTGCCCAGCAACGGTTAGACATGTCACAATATATATATATTGTCATGTATTCGGGTGTATAACGCGACAAATAAGTTCACGCCGTTCTTTGGTATAGCGAGTTTATTACGTTCGCTCGCCTTACACACACTTTACAATCATTTACACTGCAGTTGTACAATTACTGCTCACAACATCTCGGCGATGCTGGACTGTCTTCTCCGGTGGTTATTTCCAGACTGACTTCTAAGATGGCTGGTCCGAGACTGACTTCTCTGATGGCTGGTCCAAGACTTTCTCCTCCGAAGGCTTGATCACGACTGGCTTCTTAGATGGCTCGACGAAGACTGAAGACTTCTCGTCGAAACTGGGCTTTTATAACCTCGGCCGCTGTTATGCAACGAACCCTTTGTTATAACCATGGAGACTCCTGTTAGAACTACAATGGAGCAATTGTTGTTTCCTATGCAACGGTCTATCCTAGCGTTTCCATAGAAGCATCTTCTGGATTCCAGACACGTTACAATATATAAATAACCTCTGATCTGGCACTTTGCCAGTTATAGAGCAAAGAAGATTGTTACTTCTCTGACATGTTTATGTAAGAATGTTGTTAATACTCCCCAGTATCTCATTACACAACAATCAATTCCCGGTAGCTTAAAGAGTTGGCAGAAAATAAGAACAGGTTTGTAAAGGTGTGGGAACTGCCCACATTCAAGCAAATGTTACAGTGACGGCTCAGGTACCATTGCTTAGCAGCAGCGAGTAAACAGTCATTGCCATGTAAGGTCTACAACAGTATGCGACTATGGAAAGCACCCACAGTGGATCGTGTATGTATGCTAGCCAATTGCAAGCTAGAAACCATTCGCTGCCTAGCAATGGCTGGGTAAACAGCTGGTGCTAGACAAAGCCTGCAACAATAGACAGTGACATGTTTTCTACAGGCGGGGTTGAATACCTCTACTGTGACCCTGCAAGTCATAGGAGAAGAAAAAGAAGCCTCAAGTCTGAGACAGTAAAATATGGTCCCGAGTCCCAAGGGACTCGGACCTGAGAAAGACTGCGCTGGCAAGGACCAGCAGCATATACAAAAGACAGACCCATCCTCTCATCAGAGAGGGTGCCCCACAGATACAAGACTGTAACTTTCAAACGGTAATAATTAATATCTGGTCATGAGCCCCAGATGGGGCTTGACACCAAGACTTACTCACTTACCGACTGATTGACCGACCGTCAATTGCAATGTGACTTTGACTTTGAAGTTTACAGTTCTACAGTTCTAGTTCAGTGTCACGTTTCAATACAACGTTCAAGGTGTTATAGAGTGACGGTAAGTAAGTAAGTAACACCAACCATCACTGGAAAGGATATGCATGGAAGTGATCATTGCCTAATCAAGATAAAATTCCTGCACTTCTATGGTGGAAATGTGATAACCATAAAAATCTCAAGAGAGAATGATGAGTGTTCCTGCCAAGGTTTGAACTAAGAACCTAGTGAATATAAGTGTACAGCATTACTGCTATGCCAACCATTTTGGTTTGATAATCTAAAAAAGCCAATATAGCAAAAGATATTTCTTTATTGCTAATGGTGTGGGACTAAGTCCCTTGTACTGCGGCCAGTTCTGGCCTATCGTACCAGCCCCAGATGATAGGTGAGGGTGATTGTGGAGCAACTGGTAGAATGAAGATAGGCAGGGGAAACCGAAGTGCTCAGAGAAAACCTGCCCCAGCGCCACTTTGTCCACCACAAACCCCACTTGACCAGACCCAGGATCGAACCTGGGCTGCCACAGTGGGAAGCCAGCGACTAACTGCTTGAGCTATGGCGCGGCCTACAGCAAAAGAGATATTTTTAAGCCTGAACAGATATTTTCAAAGCCAAACAATAATTTCTTCATTAATCTTCAGCTCATCAGATCACAGGGAAAACACATAAAACACGTTTCACATTAATAACTGTATTTCCTGTGTGCACAATCATTCCAGATGCAAAAATAATGGAGTTGGTACAAATTGCTCTAATTCTGACAAAATTAAATTGTTCAATAAATAAAATGTTGCATCTTACAAGAATACCAGTGTCTTTTGATGAAAACAAAATGATCCTTTGGATGAACACTCTACAATGTGCATGAGGACATAACACTTCAGATATCTTAGGTGAGAAAGATTAGCACCCTTACACCCACCACAAGATTATAAATATATTCCATGTGTATGCACTGATGTCTCCAGATTAGTATTCTACTGCCTCAATTACTTACCACATCACAAGGCTATGGCTGTTAAATGCTATGAACATTTTCATGTCTCTCCAGGCAACCCTGTTGAGAGAATGATTTATTGCACATACGACAAGAATATGGACGCTCTCCTCTATGAATTACTTGATGTTTCTTCAAATTACTCTGTTGGTTAAATGCTTTATTACACACATCACAAATATATGGACGCTCTCCGCTATGCATGAGTAGATGTCTCTCCAGATGACTCAACTGAGAAAAAGATTTATTATTACAAACATCACAGGAATATGGACGCTCCCCACTATGTATGCGTTGATGTATTTTCAAATTACTGTGATATCTGAATGACTTATTACATTCATCACAGATATATGGACGCTCCCCACTATGTATGTGTTGATGGGTCTTCAGATTACTCTGTTGACTAAATGTTTTCCCACATACATCACAAGAATACGGACGTTCTCCACAATGCAATAGAAGATGCCTTTCCAGATGACTTGGTTGAGAAAAGGATTTATTACATGCATCACATGAATAAGGACGCTCCCCACTGTGCACACGTTGATGGATCTTCAAATTACTCTGATATCTGAACGTTTTCTTACATACTTCACATGAATATGGCCGCATCCCACTATGTATATGCTGATGTGCCTTCAAATTACTATCCTGACTGAATGTTTTATTACACACATCACATGAATATGGTCGCTCCCCACTATGCCTGCGCTGATGCATCTTTAGATTACTCTGATATCTAAAGGATTTATTACAGACATCACACGAATATGGACGGCCACCACTATGTATGCGTTCATGTATTTTCAAATTACTTTGATATCGGAATGATTTATTACACAGATCACAAAAATATGGGCGCTCCCCACTATGGACGCGTTGATGTGTCTTCAAATTACTCTGCTGACTGAATGTTTTAGTACACACATCACACGAATATGCACGCTTTCCACTATGTAAGAGAAGATGTCTCTCCAGATGACTACGTTGGAAGAATGATTTATTGCAGACATCACACGAGTAAGGCCGCTCCCCACTATGTATGCGTTGATGTACCTTCAGACTACTATGATATCTGAATGATTTATTACACACATCACAAATATAACGCATAGGTTGATGCTCATTTACAGCACTCTGCAAAAAAGAAGAGAAACATTATGACAAAGCTTAAAATAGGAAAGAGACTGAGTCTGTAAGCAAGGCCTGAATGAGGTCAACACTTATTCCAATTCAAAACTATATCCCCATCAGATCACATAACACAACCACAAACATTTCTGCATGGTGAATTGTAACTACTAATGATAAGCCCCATATTCATTTACTGCATATCAATTCAGAATGGTGCACAGAAGAAATTCTGGAAACACTTTTTGAAGAACCGAAGAAAAAGACATTTAAAAACGTATTAATGAGGCAATGCTCTAATTCATACTATAGAAAAATGAATATAACCTCTATATGCTGTTCCCCATGACAAAATTACCAGAGGAATGGGCTGTGGCCATCATTTTAACCAGGTGTGATCTTCATCTTAAGCAAGAGAAAGGTATCTGACAACAGTATTAGAAAAGACAAGATATGAGAGGACAGTTAAATGTGATGTCATTATCTGGTAAGAACGCAAACTTCAGGTGTGTCATATTAATTCTCCCTTCTTGTTTATGTCATGGCAGAGGAAAACTAAAACACCCTGACAGAATATGTATCATGCCACTTCTTCAATTTAATTGGAGAAAAGAACTCACAAGTACTGTCATACAGATAAATGAGAATTCATTTTATATGCTCATCCACATTTTAAGTATCATAAAAAAGTAATATTCAAGATATTTTGAAAGTAGTCTCCTATTCTTCAGAAGATGATTCTGCAGGTAATGTTGAGTAAAAACACACTAACACAGCATTAGTCTTACAGAGCACTCAGAACTAGGAGGAAACATCATAACCTCATAGGAAGGCCAGCTACATATTGGCCTTACCTTTGCACCTTCCACTAGCTCTAGTCAGTCAATTCAGAAAGCATATGTGTAAAGTTGTGTTTAGAACCATTACAAAAACACCCGTCCTCATTCTGGGGCTTGAAACCATGTGTTCAAGTAGCACAACTGCCCAAAAGGTACACTGAGAAGGAAACTCACCAGATGTTTCAGAAAATGCTCAATGTGGTTACCAGCAGCCCTTAAACACACCTTATATCTTCGAAGTAATGCTTATCAAACATGCCAAACTTCATCCGTTAAAATCAAAGCAACCATGTCCCTTATCTTATTTTGGAGAGCTTCAACAGGGTGAGATGTGTTCCTGTACATGTTTCTTTTCAGGTTCCTCCACAAATAAAAGTCACAAACACTACGGTCCAGCAGTCTTGGAGGCCACAATCCTCTACTGATGATCCTGTTATTGAACATCTCTTCTGGTGCATTCACTGAATTTCGTGCAGTATGTTTTGTTGAAAGTAGCCATACTGTTTTTCATCATCAGTCAGCTCTTCAAAAAATGGTTCCAATATATTCCTAATATTTCAGTCTAAGTTCATGGTTTCATGCTAAAACACTGGACTGATGATTCACCTAGCATTTACAGCACACCAATCTCAAATCTTTATGTCATGCAGCAGTATCTGGTGAAATGAATGGGGATTTTCATCACTCCAGATTTGTGTTCTGAGAATTTACATAACCATTTAAGTGAAAGTATGCTTCATCACTCATGAAGAGCAGATGAGCATCTAAGAGTCCATAACATACACTTTTCAGCAACCAGTTACAAAACTGAATCCTTTGTGGAGCATCAGGAGATTTAAGCTCATGCACAACTCTTGATGATACTGTATTAATTTAGTTCCCTTAGAACCTGACCCTACAGACACACCTGTCTCTTGTGATAATCATCTCAATTCCAAGGCCCATGCATCTGTGCCTAAATTTCTTCAATCCTCTCATCTGCGAGCACTGTTTTCTTGCAGTGTCATGTTTCATCAAGCACTGACTCTGTTGCCTGTCACTTCTTAATAACTCTGGAAATGCAAGGCTTTGTAGGCATGGGTGAATCAGGGTATTTGAGAATAAATCTTTCCTTACGCTTCACGTAAATTCTCTTTCATACATATGTTTCAACAACAAATATTCTCTGATCGGTACTGTACATCAGTGTTTATAAAGAAAAAGATAAACTCCTGAACCAAACACAGAAGTATGACCACCTTCTCTCTTCCAAACTGACTGACTATAGCTAGCAGAAAGGATGAGGGGTAAGGTCAAATAAGTGAATGGCTTACCTGCGGTGTTGTTATGTCCCCTTTTATTTTGAGTGCAGTGAAGAGTGGATATACTTTAGGTGCATGCAGGAGAATAAAAATAAGAGTATTAATCAGATTAATTCACTGGAAATTTTATGAGATACATCTTAAGTTAACTGCTCAAAATATCAGCCATGAGTTTCAATGCACAGCCTTGCTCACATCAAGCATGGGTTTACAGTGTGTTGTATGATACTGGGGTCTTCATATATAAACAGCAGCATTCATAATTTGACACAAAACGTTCTAATCTCGTCTGCACTTCTGTCTCATAGACCATCTCTTTCAAAAGGCCCCCATAAAAGAAATCAGCAGGGATTAGGTCCAGAGGTTTTCATGCCCAAGGTACTGGGCTAGCATAACCAATCCATTAAGTCCCATAATGCTGATCCAAGTCATAACTTGATGAACAAAATGTGGAGATTCCCATCACAATGAAAGAACATCCTGAGTATTGTCTCCAAAGGCAGTTCTGCATTAAATGCAATATTTTTTCCTTCAGGAAGTGCAGATAATTAACAGCACCTAAACAAAATTCCCAAACAAATGGTCCAATCAGCAGATCTCCAATCAGATCATGCCAAATATTCAATGACAATCAATGCTCAAAGGTGCTTTCAATGGTTTTGCAAGGAATAAGGATGAACCACATGAAGGAATTCTGTGTACTGATAACTGAACACAACGTACATAAAGAATATTTCGGTGCTAATGTGAACAAGGTGGCCTTCTCTTTCCAGAGAAGTCTACCAAAGAAGGAGAAGAGGGAGTCTCTTCAATGTTTCCTGAAAGTGAGATGCATGCAGACCCCACCAAGCTCAGTTCACATGACATTATGTTGTGCTGAATTTTGATGATGACATATGAACATAAATTTAGTTTCCTTTCTCTTTCTTCTACTGTCAACACTTCGTTAACATTTTCCAGTGCCTTAAGAATCGAAACAGATTTGCTTATTAATGTGTATGGGACGACAACTTCAGAGTGCACTGCTAGTGCTTGGAAACAAAGAAGAAAGGAGAACATCTGGGCCTAAATACAGTAGACAAAAATGATACATATGGGTGTGAACCTCAGTGGGTGTCTCTCTGAAGAAAGCACACAGACTACTAGAGCTTGAAAATGCTGTAGAGTAAAATATCTTCATCTGCAGAAATGAAGGAAAATTTATGATGGTATGATTTATAATTTGTGGATCTTATCTAGAAATGATAAATTTAATGAAAGCAAGAAGAAAGAGATTGTCATGACCTGAAAACCGTAACAAGATATTCTTACCAAAATATAACAGGACCCTCTCAAATGATCTCTCATGCAACTTACGTGTAGGTGGTTAGGTAACATTTAATGAGCTTCAGAAAAATACTGTAGCATGTCTACTGAAAGCCAGAATTGTGAAGCCAGCAGAGGCAGCCGTTGCTAGGCAACATCTACCCAAGCATGTAACAATACCAGAGCCATTGCTAAGCAACCTGCCCATGCAACAATGGAGAAACTGTTGGGAGAGGAGTTTTCTATGCAGTCTGTGCTGAGGCTATATATATAATGAGGAGCAGCTGCAGTCAGTCAGTCAATCACTCAGTCAGTTGAGAGTTGTAGTTGTGAGAAGTGAGAAACTGGTAGCTAAGGCTGGGGGAGGACAGGGAACATCCACTGTTGGAAGCCACTAACAAGCAGCACAGTGAAGACCATAACTGAGAACACTAGTTTGTGTGAAAGTGATTTGTGAAGTGTAGTCACGAGTTTTTTTATAGTTCAATAAATATAATTACCGATCCAAACCCTGTCTATACTCACTTATCATTTGACAATACAGGGTGTCTGGATGAAAGGCATCCAAAATAAAAAAAATATATCTCGGAAACTAATTGTCATACACACATCTGGTTGATGTCATTTGATAGGAAAACTCTGAAAACTTTTTTTCATGCCCAGCTTACATGCATGAGCCACCTGGTGACCTTAGGTGAGCTCAGTAACAATGTTGACACGATAGGAACAGGTTGAATGTGTATTGTTGACAGAAGAGTTGCAATCTCTTACAGCTATCCAGCATAATTTTAGAGCACAATATGGATTTCAACCTCCTACATGGAAATAATACAGTTCTGGGACAACAAACTGAAGAGTACAGGTAGTCTGTTGCGAGTAAGATCTCCTGGAAAGACACAGACCTCTGAAGAAAATGTGAATTGCATTAGAGAGGCATTCCAGTGAAGTCCACATGAATCAATTTGTGCTGCTAGCTTGCAGTTACCTACAAATTTCATGTTCAACAGTGCATGATGTGCTACACAAAAGGCTCTGCCCAAGAGCTAGAAGATTCATATGATTCATGCACTAAAACCAAGTGACCAAGTAGCACATACAAACTTCACTGTGGACAAGCTAGAAAGAATTGATGTGTCACCAGATTTCCTTCACAAGGTGTGCTTCTTGTACGAGGCGACATCCCATGTTAATGGAGTTGTAAACAGGTGTAACTGTAGGATTTGGACCAGTCAAAATCCACATGTCATAGAAGAGAGGCAGCCCCAAAGTGAACATGTTGGCCACCTTAATGCACAAGTTGATTGGACCATTCTTCTTTTTGAAAAAGACTGTGGCCAAACTTTCGTACTTGGACATGCTGGAGCCATATGCCCTGCCCCAATTATCATCTCAAACTATACACCAACAAGACAGGGTGCCGCCACATTTCTGCCACAATTTTAGGAATCTCCTGGACAGAGAGATGGCTGGGAGATGGATCAGCAGAGGTGGCCCAATCGATTGGCCTACTACGTCGCCAGATTTAACTACATTCAATCAATTTTTTCTTGTGGGATTATGTGAAGAACATTGTCTACCAGGTTCAGATCAACGATCTTCAACACCAGAAAGCCCACATAAGGGACACTGTGGCTGCAGTAACACCAAACATGCTTCAAGCAACGTGGAACAAGGTCAAATATCATCTAGATATTTGTCATGCCACAAAGGGAGCCCACACTGAAATTTACTGAGAAAGTTACATACTCAGAAAAAGACTTTGATAGTTTTCCTTTGTAATGGTGTAATCCAGCACTAACATCGCCGACAAGCAGCAGTCGTTCGGTCGGCATAGCTCGCTTGCGGACTAAAACCATGGAGTTTGTTTTAGTCTGTAATGGTGTAACCCATAAATGTGTATAATAAAGGGTTTCTGAGATATAATTATTTTATTTTGGATACCTTTCATCTGGACACACTGTATAATATTCATAGAAAGCACATTATGTGAATAACAACATTCCTGCAATTTCTTATAGCTGTGCAAATTTCTAGATGAGCATCATTCTTATTCTTGTTGGCTACAGGTACAGAAGAAAAGACCTACTTTCAAATACCGTGTAGGAAGAGTTTCTGTGTTATTCTGCAAAGATATAACAACCCAGTGAATTATGGTAAAGGTAAGATAAAGTTGTCCCTGTGCTTCATTAGTTAAGCACCATGCTGTGAAGATGTATGGGGGAGTGGAGATACAGCTCCACCATTCTTGACAGCACTAGATGAAGCACAAGGAAATGGCCCCTTCTATCCACTGAACAGGAGGCCAGGTGGGCCCTAGAGCTGGTCTGGACACTTTGGAGTAGAAAAAATTAGAGAAAAATCTCTTTCCCCTATTGGAAATCAAACCTCAGTCATCCATCCCACAGCCCGTTGCTATAATGACTACTCTAGTAAATTAAGACAAAATATATATATATATATATATATAGGCCTACTCATCTATCTCACAGACCACACTTTGCACCACACAGCCCATATAGTGTCATTAAAACCAATCTACTATGTGTGTCCCTGTCATTTAGAGCATATATTTCATGTAGTCTTCTCGCGTCCATGCTTTCCACTTTCTTGGAAGAAAACGAACTGTGACATATATCCTGCAGTAACTCGTAACTGCATAGTCTGAAGATTATTGTCTTCTGGGATGTCATGTCATGTAGTCCAATTTTGACAGAAATGGACCATCACATGAACACTGCAGAGGTAAACTACAAAGATACAGAAATTTTGTTCCAGTAGTTTCACAGGACAAATATTTTGTTCATACAAATTAAACTACTGTTGAGTGTCCCCTACCTTGATGCTATATTAACCTTTAACATCTGAAGTGCCCCGATTGGGCCAGTGATGAGTATGGTCATCTTGGCCAAAGTACCCCGTTTTGGCCAGTCGAGCATTTAAACTCCGCTAGTAGAAGCGTGTGCACACGCCACTAGTAGAAGTGCATGCACAGTCCTAAATATTTATTTTTAAATGTAGTAATTACCAGACAGACCTGGGTAAAACCCTAATAGAGGAATTAAAATGATACCTAAGTGAACAACAACAAAAAAGAGTATAAGTATACATATATATACTATATACGCATGAGTTATGCCCAAACTCATCCACGAACCAGTACTTTTATTGCAGATTCTTNACTTTGCACCACACAGCCCATATAGTGTCATTAAAACCAATCTACTATGTGTGTCCCTGTCATTTAGAGCATATATTTCATGTAGTCTTCTCGCGTCCATGCTTTCCACTTTCTTGGAAGAAAACGAACTGTGACATATATCCTGCAGTAACTCGTAACTGCATAGTCTGAAGATTATTGTCTTCTGGGATGTCATGTCATGTAGTCCAATTTTGACAGAAATGGACCATCACATGAACACTGCAGAGGTAAACTACAAAGATACAGAAATTTTGTTCCAGTAGTTTCACAGGACAAATATTTTGTTCATACAAATTAAACTACTGTTGAGTGTCCCCTACCTTGATGCTATATTAACCTTTAACATCTGAAGTGCCCCGATTGGGCCAGTGATGAGTATGGTCATCTTGGCCAAAGTACCCCGTTTTGGCCAGTCGAGCATTTAAACTCCGCTAGTAGAAGCGTGTGCACACGCCACTAGTAGAAGTGCATGCACAGTCCTAAATATTTATTTTTAAATGTAGTAATTACCAGACAGACCTGGGTAAAACCCTAATAGAGGAATTAAAATGATACCTAAGTGAACAACAACAAAAGAGAGTATGAGTATACATATATATACTATATACGCATGAGTTATGCCCAAACTCATCCACGAACCAGTACTTTTATTGCAGATTCTTCATATTAATGTGTTAAAATATATGGTAAAATTTGATGTACATACCTTTTTTGTTATCTGCTTGATGCATATATACGTTGAAATTAAACTATAGTATTCGATTTCACTATGAACGCACAGAAAACAGATTACATTCTGCATCTTAGCCACGATGGAACTGTCTGTTCAGGACCATAATAATCTCTTGCAGCTATAACAGAAGGTCTTAGCACTGAAGAAGGGACCATCGAATTGTTCCCTCTAGCTTTTTCTTGAATAGCCATGCTTTCATGCTTCTGTCCTTTAGTCAAAAGATTCTAAAATCTGAAGAGTGCAACAAAGATGTAAGGTTTTCCAGCAGAGAACCAAATGATTTTATTGCTTCCATCTGTTTTATGACACCAGGGACTGCTAAAATTTGTCAAGTGTTACAAACAGAAATGAATTTATAATGCAGAACAACTCTGTGAAGAACTGGGAAACCATTTTTACAGTACACATCAAAATTAAAATAAAAAAATTGAAAAAAGAGTATAACTCTTTGTATAAAAATTTTCATATCTTCCGTTATAATACGCGACACTATGTTCTTTGTTGATATAAACAAAGTTAATTCCATCCATATATCATAAAAATTGTGTTAGATAAAGCATTTTTAAACACAATGCTTAAAATTGTTTAAACGCCCTAACAGGAACAGACATTTAAATGCAGAGTAAAAATGGGCATTTAAACACGCAACAGCAGCAGGCATTTAAATAAATTCCAGCCAACTCAAGCTTACCACCATTTCAAAAGTCCGGCGTTTAAAGGTTAGGGATGATTTAACTGTAGTAAATGAGCCACTGTCCAGCAATGACAGGACGGATGCACATACAGACACCCAGACTGATGGGAGGAATTTATGAAATATGCCACTGAGATGGGCTCAGGTGCCATGGTATATATACCAAGTTTCATAGAGAGTGGTTCAGGCATTCAAAAGTTGATAGAGGAAATACACAGGCACACAGAGAGCATGGAGATTACATAAGCTTATTGCAAGGAAGCTAAAAATGACACATACAGGAACAGCCACCACAAACATCTGAAAATAAGGCTCACCTCAGGCTCAGGTCTTTCTATGGAAAATGGTGACAGCGTATAAACTCTGTCACTCTTCATGTCAATGGAATCTTCTTCACTCATAACATCCACATTATTTTCTACTTTCAACAATGCATTCTGCTACAAAATTATAAACAAAAGACACTTCTGTCAGTTTATAAAGTTCTTATATGCCCAATACATGTGCAAAATATGAGATATGTACAATGGCTGAGTCCACACTCACCCCTCTAATACCATGAATGCTGACTTCCAGAAACAGGAGGCACCCATCAATTAAAAATAAATATTTTTAGGAATAAGAAGTATCTGACATACTGCTGAGTTACACATGCCATTAAGCAAGCCTCTCAAGTTGAATGCCCAGGCATACCAGTTTTCTTAAATGTTTATGCCTTTAAAGTAAGCTTCATAGCTGATTATCGGAACACTTTCAATAAGGAATGCCATTAAGCAAGCCTCTCAAGTTCAATGTCCAGGCATACCAGTTTTCTTAAATGTTTATGCCTTTAAAGTAAGCTTCATAGCTGATTATCGGAACACTTTCAATAAGGAATGCCATTAAGCAAGCCTCTCAAGTTCAATGTCCAGGCATACCAGTTTTCTTAAACGTTTTGGCCTTTAAAGTAAGCTTCATAGCTGATTATCGGAACACTTTCAGTAATGAATTAATTTTAAAGAGACAGAATGAGACAGAGATACAAGTAATTACCCTAATCCTCAAACCGAGATATGTGAAAAGTGCTGGACCATATATCTGTTAACAAAACCACACAGATAACACAACGGTGGCATTCTTTACTGTTGTCCTGTCTGGTATACTGAACCTAGTGTGACTGCAGGGCAGTACTAAAAGAATGAATTGATTCTGAATTTGAATGCTTTGTGGAAAGAAATAGCCTTAGATGCTAACACCCCTCTAAATCCAGAATTCACATAACACATCATGAAAGCACAGTTCTAGGCACTTGCATAAAAACTGTATATATACGAATTCTAGAATGTTGGAACTCTCAATAAAAGACATCATATGCACTGATCAGTAACTTCATGCAGCTGAGTCCTTCTTGACAAGCTGCCAGTCACACAGCTAGTTAAAAACTTCCCAATATCTTATCGAACCTGAAGGTTCATTACCATGTTTGCAAGAGCCCTCCACTGGTCGATATCCTGAGCCAGATCAATCCAATCCATACCACCCCATCCTATCTCTCTTAAGATCCATTTTTAATATTACCCAACCATTCATGTCTTGGTCTACCTGGTAACTCTTTCCTTTCGGCTTTCCCACCAATATCCTATATGAATTCCTCTTATTCCCATTCATGCTACATGTCCTACCCATCTCATCCTCCTTGACTTGATCATTCTAATTATACTAGGAGAAGAGTACAGGTTATGAAGCTCCTCATTATGCAGTTTTCTCCAACCTCCTGTCACTTCATCTCTCTTCAGTCCAATATTCTCCTTAGCACCCCAATAATTGATTCATATTTTATCTCACCACATGTAAATTTCTGTTCACACAGTCTGTCACTCAAGATGTATAGCCCACAGATCAAAAGGCAAAATTATGTCTGATTCTGCAGAATGCAAACAGTGCTACTTCAGCTGCAACCTGTCTGCATTCCATGGTTACTGTTTATTTGGTAAAATACAACATTACTTCTTCACTACAGCTCTCACTACTTACAACAATCAAATGTTTTTATTTTGCTGCAATGCAGTAAATTAGCACTACCTCAAATGTTCCATACAGAATGACAAACTGCAAATGTTAAAAAACAATTTTCCTGAGAAGTGTCACCCCATTTGATGGATATGTATCCCAAAAAGTAAGTATTCCAGGACATATGCTTTACATTTTTGACCATATTTTTTAACAAAGCAGTACACTATAAATTTTGTTCCATTCTGTATACTATATTATGTGAAAGTAAAAACAGTCAAGCATGTATGAGATGATAATATAATACCCAGACATGTAATGACACTCTTATAATACACAACAGTAAAATACTGACACTTCAAAACACACTACATATGTTTAAAATTGCAACACAAAGTTCTGCAATTCAGTATCACATAAGAACAACTGATCTCACATACAGGGGATGGACAAAAATATGGAAACACCTCGTGAAATGTATGCCTGAATTGAAGTGTTTATTTTAGCAATGTTTGTAGGTCACGCTGTCGCATCTGCCTAACACCACTACCTGTACAACCTCCGCAATACGTTGCAAGCTTCATTTGTTGTCAAGACAGTGTTCAGTGCAGTTTTTAGTGCATCATGTCAGAGCTAACGGAATTCGAACGCGGGCAAATTGTTGGGGCCTGTATGGTGGATGCTTCCGTAACCAAGATAGCCGAGGTTTTTGGTGTTTTGCGAGGCACAGTATCCAAGATTATGACTGCACACAGGAGGACTGGAAAAACCGCATCCGACAAATACCAGCGTGGATGGAAATGTGTGTTGTGTGATCGAGACAGACGAACATTGTGTAGGATTGTGAAGAAAAATAAGAAGACTACATCTGCAAAAGTGACTGCTGAACTGGTCATGTTCACAAACCCTGTCAGCACCAAAACAGTATGAAGGGAACTCCACGAGCAGGGTATTTCTGGATGAGCTGCAATTCCAAAGCCACTCATCAGTGATCAAAATGTCACTAAGAGGAGAGTGTGCTGCTGCCTCCATCTTCAGGGTACTAACTTGAAGGTAGAGGCAGCAGGTTCTTCAGAAACATTTGTAACTACCTGCCAACTATATGGCATCACATCCAATAAGACAGCGATCTTTATTCAACATTGTATCAGATGCTAATAACACACATTAATATAAATAAATAAAATATTTGGTTTTTGTAAGTTATAGCAGTGTGCATGGGCAACAGCTCTACAGACAGCAATATTACAAAAGAAGTAACTGCTAAGTAGCAGAGCTTTAGGAATCAGTACCAAAGAAATGACCAAACACTTAACTGTTGCGTGTGTTTAGCAATGGACAGATAGATATATAGCTCACCTCATTATCAGTCTTCACTGGGAATTTTATTAACAGAGGATCCTCATCCTGTTTTACCTCAATTAGCTGACTTTCACTACAAGAAAATGTTAGGAATCCTTCTCCATCTGTATCAGGTTCACGCTTTATGAAATCCATTTTAAGCTGTCAAACCACAGTATTCACATTAATCATCAAGGAATCTGGGGGATTAGCAGTGGTGGAAACTTCAATTGTAGTGTTCTTGAGAATCACAGTATGTAATCTGAGTGGTGGGTACCAATATTTTGGTGGAACCTACTGTCTGCATTTTGGTTATGGATGTGAAAATGAAGGCAGCAGGTGTCTCAGAAACTTCTGTAACAACCTACAAAACTACATAGTGTCATAATCCACAAGACCACAATCTAATATTTCAGAGAACAGCTCCACTTGCTTTCCCGCACTGTGACACTCTGACTGACGCAGTTTGCATCACTGTTTAGCATATCTGATTCTTTGTATTTCAAATTCACACCTTCATAAAGAAAAGGCATATCTTCAGGCTGCAAACACTAATAACACTGGAAATTCTTTAACAATATATGATTCAAATTCAAGTACTGAGTCAAGACCACTTACAAAAAATATGGAAAGTTCCACAATTTGAAAATAAAATTGATAAACAGATTAATGGTTATTTGGATCTGAATTTGAAAATCTGTATATGAAATGCAAACACTACAGTATATCACATACATGTGCACCAACACTCATTCACACACGCAGTATTCACAAAATGATGTCAGTACCTATCGGCTCAGTTGTGTCAGTGCCTAATTCAAGTTCTACAGTGACACATTTTATGACATTACTGATCATTTATGGAGATACAGAAGTCTGAACATACAGGTCCAAATCTTCCTTCACACCAAGAATGCTTTACTCTATGGGACAATAAATAGTGAGATAACATTCAAAAAACATGTACAATATGTCCTAACTCAAAACTGCAAACAAAGTTTCACAGGGAAAACGTGAAATGAAGAGGCTACTTGGATGACACAGACATAGGAGGATCTCAGAAAAATGGATCATAAATTTTGAACTAGACTGAACTGGCTGAGGAGTGTATCCAAGGTCCACAAAAGTAAGAAATTTAATGTACAGCTGAATAACTAGCAAGTTAAACACCCTACATCTGCAGAGTTTGAGAGTCAACCTACAGACATATACGAGGATAAGTCAATAAGTAAGTTACAAATAAGAGTACTGATTTGAAAAATGCTTTTATTTCTCAACATAATCTTCCTGTACATTGAGGCACTGGTCCCATGATTTCACAAGCCCCTGAAAACCAGCAGCATAAAATTCTTCAGGCTGCTGTTGGAACCAGGTGTGTTGCTCTTGCATGACAACGTGTGTCCCCATACTGCCAACAATGAGACGCTGCAAAATTTCAAGTGGGAAGTCCTCGAGCATCCTCCATATAGCCCCGACCTTGCTCCAAGTGACTTCCATTTGTTCGGCCCTGTTAAACATCATCTTTCGGTTGAACATTTTCCCGACGATGAAGCTGTAGTAAGCGAAGTCACCGCCTGGTTCCGACAGCAGCCCAAAGAATTTTATGCTGGTTTTCAGGGCCTTGTGAAATGATGGGACAAGTGCATCAATGTACAGAGAGATTATGTTCAGAAATAAAAGCATTTTTCAAATCAGTACTCTTATTTGTAACTTACTTATTGACTTATCCTCGTATATGTCTGTAGGTTGACTCTCAAACTCTGCAGNGACAATTAGTCCTATCGTTTGCTCTTATGGCACCAGAATATAATTTAAAGGAGGATAATGCACACCACACAGGTAAAGTACAGACTACAAGTTAATCACAGGGCCAATATGGAATTACACATTCCAACAAGCCTCTCTAGTCCTATTGTCAACTTGAGTTGGCAGAATCCCCTTTAGAGGAGCAAATGAAAATATGTGGGCCTCATCTGTGAAATTACTGCAGACATCTATTCTACTCTTGAAATGCCTAGAGCTTGAGCAGTTTCACGTGCAATTGAACTTCAATTTTGCTTGGAATTTTTAAATTTGACGCCAAAATAAAACTCATGAATTACCAATGCCTGCTAACAATACACACTCACCCCATGTTCTATGCTTAACTGATCACCATGTGAAAGCACTTGAGGTTGTACAGGTTAATCTGAACAATTACACTGTGGGAACTAGTTACTGCAGACAAAGCTGGTAAAGAACATGTCAGCAGCTCTCTAGAAAAGAACCTAAACAAGACAGACACTGTATCACTGCAATGAACAGGATACAGAATACTGTGCTATGTAGGTGGAATATATATTGGGGGTGGACAAAATAATGGAAACACAAAGAAACTGAGGAACAGAATTTGTGCTGACTACACTGAATATTCTTCTGTTTGTTTACACTCTGTAGTGCTCATGTCAGTACATGGGTGATTGTGTTGAGTGACAGCCCATGTGTTCATTACCATGTTTACAAGAGCCCTCCACTGGTCCCTATCCTGAATTTGAACAATCTAGTCCATACCACCCCATCCTGTCTAAGATCAATTTTAATATTATCCAACCATCTCTGTCTTGGTCTTCCTAGTGGTCTCTTTCCTTTCGGTTTTCCAACCAATATCCTATACGCATTCCGCTTACTCCCATTCATGCTACATGTCCTGCCAATCTCATCCTCCTTGACTTCATCATTCTAATTATACTTGGCGACGAGTACAAATTATGAACCTCCTCACTGCATGCAGTGTTCTCCGACCTCCTGTCACTTCAGCTCTCTTATGTCCAAATATTCTCCTCAGCACCCTGTTCTCAAACACCCTGTCTACATTCTTCCCCTAATATCAACAGACCAGGTTTCACACCCATACAAAACCACAAGCAAAATTACAATTTTGTATATTCTAATCTTTACATTTTAGACAGCAGGAAAAAAAAAAGACTATAAAGTTTCTGGACTGAATGGTAGCAAGGATCTGCCAAATTCAATCTCCTCATAAATTTCCTCCCAAATCAAATTTTGATATGTTACTGTTTTTCTTGAATATCTGACCCGTGCTACATTTTCAAAAGATCTGATACTTACAAGCACCTTTCTGTCATGATTTTGCCCTGCATTCTGGTGATGAAACAGCAACATATACTTTGTTCTCTGTGTTTACTTCTAGACCAACCTCCTCACTAGCTTCACTTAAATTCTGTATGTTTTTTTCATGGTATCTATGTTACCTCCCAGCAGAGTCATATCATCAGCATAGACCAGCAGCTAATGTGTCCCATTCAATTTAAGTATCACCCAGTTTTACTGGACCTTCCTAATGGCATATTCTGAACCAAAGTTGAAAAGGAGTGGCGATAAAGCATCTCCTTGTTTTAGGCCATTCTGGGTAGGAAAATTATCAGACAAATGTTTACCTGTATGAACTGCCAATATGTTTAATCTGAACACATTTTAATCGGCCAAACCAGTTTCATGAATAGCCCAAACTCTATGAGAATATTGTATAATACTTCCCTCCTAAATGAATCACAGGCTTTCTTGAAGTCTATGAATTGCTCATGTACTGTCTCATTAAACTGTGGACTACTTTAGTCAATTCAGTCTCTGTTATTTCTAAGAGAACAAATGGATCTTTTGGGCTTATTGTATTATTACTTATTTGTGAATGCATTAAGTTTTTATAAAGTGTTTATTTATGGTTTCAAAGAAGGTTGCATATTATACTTGCACTTTAGACTGTTTCATTTTCCACCTTGACACTGATCAATTCTAGCCCTTTTTTATTTGGATGATTATAAATGATGGGGAACCATATTTATAACTGATTCTTAGTAATATTAAATTAAAAATCTTATATTTCAATATCATTGGAACTTTATTGTGTTCTATAATATTGTACTCCATTGTCTTGGATGTGCGATACAGTGTTTATGTGGAAATTTCTGGATTCTGGCAAAGCCAAGAAGTCTGTAGTTCTGACACTTACAAGCAGTCATTTATTTAGCTTGGGTACAGGCAACCAGACACATCTACAGAAGTCAGTGGAAAAGCCAGGTCAAAACTCATTATAACTGCCTGTGAATGAGGGCCACTCAAGGGCCATTATGACTTGGTTGCCTCATTCAGACTTCCCTATGGGATATGGAATGGCATGTATATATCTGCACAATGGAGAAGTCAATTTTTTTTTAATTCCCAGCATGGGATGTGCAAGCCATTTCCACGCTTCTGTCTTTTCTCTATATTCTGAAGTATACAGACATAACCCTTGCACACTCCAAGACCGAGTTAGCAGATCAAATAATAAATTGTAATTGTTAAGTATTAACATACAATAAATTAAAGAGTGTATATGGACAAATACCGTCTTAAGTGCAACAATTTTATTGTAGTAAAAACTACAATAAAATTNGTTTTATGCAACCAGAAGGTTCACTACCGTGTTCACAAGAGCCCTTCACTGGTCCCTATCCTGAGCCAGANGGAGAACATTAAGTGAATCAACGTCAAAACTGAATCAGTTCACAGTATATTGACTAATTTGGTATCACTACCCTAAGTCTCGTGCTCACCGACCGAGCTAGTTTCCTGTACCTATACCAACCTTCCTTAGTTCGATCTGTAATGACAACTTGCAGTGACCATCATACACCATTAGAAGGTAGAAACTGGTGTAGCAGGCATAGCAACATTCTGACTGAGCCTTATTTCCTTACTAGCTATAATAACTGTGGTCAAGTGAGGCTTTTTATTTGGTGACAGGGGCACAGTCGAGTCCCTGAAACGTTTTAAATAGAAACAGGAAGATGTATAATGTCCAAGAAGTCAAGAATTGTATTAATATACCATCATCACGCACTTTTAAATCTTACTTACCAAAATCACTGCTTATCAGAAAAGAAGGTACTGTGAAGAAACCACGTTATTCTGTATTCTTCTAGCAGTGACATTTGAATCCACAGTCAAAAAATTATCTTCTACGTCACCATATCTACTCTATAAAAGAATTAAGTTTGATTAAAAAATACCTTCGGGTATTGCAAATTTTTATGAAGATATTTTTGTCATGTTTATTCTGCTCTGTATAATATCGTTGTAACATTATATAGTTGCATTTAGCAAGCAAATTATTTATTTATTACTACACATATTTGCATTACGGTTACAGACATCCTACATCCATAATTTAATGTTACAAGGGCTCTATGGAAAGTATTCCAAGTCTACTTCGCCTTTGCAAGAGATTTTTAATGCTGTAAGTACTGTAAATATGCTAAAGAAAATATTTTGTTCTGTATAATATTCTTACAAGATGCCTGTACATAGTCGTTACCGCTATGAAATTATAGTTGTATTGATATCAAATATTCGTTCTTATCAACGATGTTCTATGACTTTGCCTGTGTACTATGAAGAACCTTTGGATTAATAAATTCTATTATATTTATTCCGGTATTCTGCACAATATGTACTGTTTTTTTTTCCACAGTTGTACTACTGTTTGTACCATTGACAATCCGCACAAACATTTCCCTGAACTCCATTAAACATCCATACGTCCTTCTCGTTCATGTCGTTCATGTCCATACCGTTAACAACGGTATCACGGATTATACACATATAAAGACAACGATGAGAGGGGCACGTGTGACTAAGCGTGCAGTAGCGCCATCGAAACTCCGTTAAAAAGAGTTAAAAAGGCCACCAAATATCTTCGGTGTTGGTGATACAATTTGCATGCACAACTTGAATCTGTTCAATCTGATACTAAAACACAACATGTGTTGGAAAGTTGAGATTATCTTGCATGAACAGTCTTTGGCGTGGCTTGAAGTCTGTCAGCACTTCGTTTTTCCAGCAGTGTACAAGGTTGTCGTCGTGCGAATTGGAAGCGTATGGCGCTCAGTTTGTATTGTATGCATCATATCCGATTTTCGGCCCAGTCCTCACGAGTTTTTTTTCGCATTTTGTTCAAATATGCAAGCAACATAAATGCTTGTAGAAGACAAAATAAATAAAATATTCGGACCATAATAAAAAAATACATGGCGTATAAATTACAAAAGAAGAAACTGAAGGAAATCGATCCAGATGCGAACAAATACATGACCTTCAATGATCTATTGTGCTTCCCCTTTGGATTAACCCTTTATTAATCCCACACTTCGAATGAAATGTGGATCTTTGGAGGGGGCCTTCATAAAAGTCACTTGGTTCCATGAAGAACTGACCCAGGTGGCAAAATCTTAAGTAAGCTATAGCCTCACAATCACATAGAATGTGTATGGCCAACTTAGAACCTTTCACAGGTTGGGTCATCTGCCAGTCCCAGTTTGAAAATGTGCCCTTTTAGGTGGCAGTGTCCAGTAAGTAATCCTACCACCCATCTTAATTGATCTCTGTTTAAGTTCTTTTGGCAGAGGGTCCTGATATAAATCCTTTTCCTGTTTCAGTCCAGTTGTGGATTCCCAGTGTTTTTTGTGATTTATATTTGTCCAGTCCATGATCACTTTCATCAATTGAGATGCTGCAAGCTGGTTCAGGTCCTATGAATGGATGTTCAGATCCTGTTCTTGCCAACTGGTCTGCAGATTCATTCCCAGCAATATCCTCATGGCCTGGCACCCATATCAGCTGAACTCTGTCATGTCTGGCCAGTTGCGTACAGTCCGAAGGGAAATACACATACAACGAAGCCAGACGTTGATACACGAAAGGTGGATAAACCCAGCAAATAAAGAAAACTATGCCAGTTAACTCGCAGTTAAAATGCTTCAGCAGTGCTGGAGTGTCTGCAGCTGTATGTGGACACGCATTTTCATGGAGGAGCACTACACCGCATGTCCACACTTTTTGTTCTGAATGGCCCTATACATTTTCTTTTAGCGTTTCATGGTACACTTCTAATGTTATTGTGGTCCCTTGTTGCATGAATTTCACCATCAGCACTCCTTTTCCTGTCCCAAAAAATAGTGGCCATCAGCTTTCTGGCAGATGTTTGTTTCAACTTTTTTGGCTTGTTTGGCAAATGTGTGCGCACCCACTGCTTTGTCTGCTCTTTGGTTTCAGCATTCACAAATGAACTCGGGTTTCATCACCTGTTACTTGTACGATGTGGCTGAGAAATTCATCACCGTCTTTGTATTATCACTCCAAAGAAAGTCAAAGCTGAAGCCACTCTTTGCATTTTGTGCACACCCATGAGCATTTTTGGCACCAATCTTGCACAAAAAGTGTGATAGCCTAGCCTACCTGTGATAACCTCATGAACAGTGCATGAAATTTGTGAAAATTCACAGGAAGTTCTAAAACTGTGAAGTGTCATCTTTTACAATTTTTTTTGGTCAACACTGTGAACAAGATCACTCATTCACTACAGATGGCCGACCACTTCACTCTGCATCATGAACATTTGTTCACCCATCTTTGAACATTCTACGCCACTGTCTTACAGTTCTCTCACTCATTAAATTTTGGCCATAAACTGCACATATTTCATGATGGATTTCCATCAGCACTCATGTTGTAGCATGAAGAAAGCAGATAACGGGAATTTTGCAGCTGGTGGGATCAATTGCAGGACACATCACAAGTCACTCTGTAGAGACAAGAACACTAGGTGACCGGTTATGTGATGGTCCACAAGGCAATGAGTCATGTGACTACCTCATATGCACGAACTCTCCACACTACAACATTAGTTGCCTAAAATAAAGTTTACTTTCCAAATAGCCCTCATACTCAGATTAATTCAAATANCTAGGTGATGGTCCATAAGGCAATGAGTCATGTGACTACCTCATATGCATGAACTCTCCACACTACAACATTAGTTGCCTATAATAAAAGTTTACTTTCCAAATAGCCCTCATACTCAGATTAATTCAAATATTCAAAGCAATTGTAATGTGAAAATCAGACACCCCAACTGTGATGCAGAAAAGCTGTTGTTTAATCTTCCATATCTATTTAGTGTGCAGTTGCAAATTTGCCATATTACACAGGTTAAGGAATCACTGATAGAACAGTCTGCAGTAATAAATGTCAGTGTTAACCATTTCAAAACAAATGTATCCACATAACATCTGAATCATGATGCATAAGTTCCTTACTAAGAACACCGTGTTATTTGGATCCATTGCCACCATAATATGGTACATTTTCAGGTTTCAGAGAAAGGCAAGAGCTTACCGATTATTCTCACTTGCATTCCTAAATTTATGACTCCAAATTCAGAACACTTCTGATCTGAAGTCCATTTCACAACTCTTTACACTACTGCACATATTTATGAAATATCGAAACAGAACTGTGACACTTGTACACTTCAAATGAAAGACAAATAAAGTAAGTAATTCGAAGTTTCTCTGAGGAGCAGTCTGTTCAGGATATATAACACTGAATGACAGGATAATTAATGAAAAATAGTGGAATGGATATGGATAGAAGTGATAATCATTGAGGCACTATCCTGGCATTTACTTGGATGGACAAATGAAAGCCATGAAAAACTGTTAGGATAGCTAGACTGTGCTAAAATTTTAAGCCAAAACTATCCAAACACAGTGGAGTGCTACTCCACTCAACTGCAACGTTGAGTACATTACGATTATAAGTGGTCTGTTTATTATACATGGTATATCAGTTGCGGGATTACTACATCAACAGAATAAAAAAGAAAAGCACAAGAACATCAACTGGTAAGAAAATCCCATAGTTGATACAGAATCCCAAATTGATGTCTATATTGGTGGGAAAGTCCAAGTGCCAAATAGTAGTTATTACAGAAATGTACTGATTAATAACTTAACATTGGTTTTTGTATGTGTTGAAAACTACATGCCTAACTGTGTGGAATTTTCTACAGGTATTCTCAGCATCATAAGTCTAAATTTAGTACTGACACAGTATCAATTAAAAGTGTATACACATGTGAAATCCATTAATCCTTACTGTAGAAGTAAAATGTTGTGCCCAGTTTCTTAGTTATTAAATGTGATTTTGTAAGATCGGATGCTTAGGTTAAAACGCCAGACGGCTGGTCAGAAGGCGAGGAGACAGAGCCGCGGCTGACTCTTCGCATTCCTTGTCAGTAGATCGAATTGTTTTAGAAAAGACTGTTTACGCATCAGTGGAAAGACCCGGTCAAGTTTCGCTTTGCGTGACATGGCATGTCCGGCAAGTTGCCGACCTGAGGGATTTTGCGCACGCAGCTTTCGCAACTTGGGGAAACAAAAGTTGAATCTTGTAATTGGGAAAAAACAGGCCGTTTCAGGCACTCCATTTCTAGCAGTTGCGAGACATGGACGGGTAGATCCAAGTGTGCCTGGGGAAAACCTTGGGATGGCGCCAGTGTTCTTCTTGTGCGTCCTGTTCAGTGCGAGTGAGTACTTGCCTGTGGTCGGGTCACTGATTGCTGATTAGAGCTTTTGGTTCAATGGTTATTTGAGAAATAAATACAAAGTGTTGATTTGTGTCATTTAGGGTTAGTATATTATGAGTAGTTAAAAGGTAGGAATTCAAAACCAGGGGTTTAATCGAAGGCCCTGTGTGTTCTTTTATTATACCTTACTTTATTGTTGTTTGTGAGTACTCAAATTATTTGTGGATTCCCCCAGTGCAAGCATGTTTTCCACAGCATAGGTTAAGAGATATCCACAGACGTCTGATAGGGGGTGAGTACAGTCAATGCCCCCTATCCAGGCACAACAAAAAAGAAGGCCACTTCCAGATTATTTTATACTGTTTTAAGAGCTGTTCAAACTGGTAACCACCATGATTGCTACACAGTTCATGTAGTATCTCAAGGACACTGTGGTCAACTTCACAACACAGCCTACCCATTCACTAACAGCTTCACATGCCTGTAAAATATCGTTAGTCATGGAAACTGACACGGTGACTCTTAAAACTTAATTACTGCCTTTACATAAAGTGGTATATAAAACAGTAAACTTATGCCAGTTTCATGAACAAAGATATAATTTCCAAGAGAACTGCATCAGACATGGGTACCAGGTCATGTCAATTCAACATCTGACAAAGTTATCACAGTCTATGTTGATGGAGATATTTCACCTTATGAAAAACCTTCCCCACTACTGACACATTTAAAAGGTGTTTGCAGAACATGTGTGCGGTGATGTGTAGTGAGAGGTCCCTTCCATGGAAATGCTTTACCACAAACTCCACATTCAAATGGTTTTTCACCAGTGTGTATGCGTCGATGTGTGACAAGATGTCCACGAGCATAAAATGCCTTTTCACAAATCTCACATATGAAAGGTTTTTCACCAGTGTGTGTTCTTTGGTGTGTAACAACATGTTCTTTTTGTGTAAATTCTTTTCCGCACGTGTCACATTTGAAAGGTTTTTCTCCAGTGTGTGTGCGATTGTGTCTAATAAGTTGTCCACACACTGAGAATACTTTTCCACACACTTCACACTTAAAAGGCTTTTCACCAGTGTGTGTACGTCTATGATTAATCAGACTAGATCTATGAGATAAAAGTTTCCCACAAATTTCACATTTAAGACGCTTCCTGGAACAGCCTGTTGTAGTACTACCAGGGCCTTCAATGGCAGAATCATCAACTCTGTAAAATAACAGTTCCATATAATTACTCCTTCCATACCTCATGTGTTACTCTTCAGACTAAAATATGTTAAACAACAAAGTGTAACAGCAGAAAAACTGCTAACTCAAATTTGGAAAAGGTATGAACATAAGAACTGTTCTTGAATTTGTGTTGGCTTTTTGACCAGAAGAAAATTCTCACATGCAGAAAGAATTCACTTATGCAGAACAAGATTCTAAAACATTTCAGTGTACATGTAAAAGTAAGAAGTAAAGCTATCCCTGTAACAGGCCGTGAAGGCCCATAGGGTTGTGAGATGTTGAGGGTCTCATTACCTAGACAATCGGCTCAAAGATGGTGGTAAGGCTGTCAGCCTTATGCGCTGGCCGTGCTTTACTGTAGTGGGCATATTCAGCAGAAGGAATTATAAATGTATAGATTACATAACCTTATAATTACTTATAACAAAATACAGCTGATGTGAAAAGAGGAAGTGATATTCTGTAATAATGTAGATGCATTATTGTAAATAAACTGAATAATCACAACTACACTGAACTCTTCACTCACAATACACAAACACATTCACACACAACTATTCACTGTTTGATGAACGTTGTCAAATTGGCAAGTAGTCAAAACTGAGTACTGAATGACTAAACCATCACTACTAAGGCTTCACTGTTCTTTGTTAAACACACGCTGACAAAAATGGAACATATAGGTGTACATAAAGGATACTACAGCTATGTTAGGATGATACGTCGAAGAACATATCTTGAGACTCTTCCACCGTGTCCTGACCACCCCATACTGCAGCTTCATTGGCCAGTTCTATGAACAAATCGATGGTGTGGCCATGGGCTTACCACTGTCTCTGGTCATTGCCAACTTCTACATTGAGGATTTGAAGGTTAACTTGGACACCAGAAGCCCCTCTGCTGGTTTCCCTATGTGGACATCACCTTCATCTGGCCACATGAACCCAAAAAGCTGAAGGACTTCCTGAATCATCTTAACAGTATCCACCAGCTCAGTCTGCAGCCACCTGCTCATGCTGGTTCCTCACTTGTGGATTTTTCTACACTGAAGATTGAGGTGATATGTTCCTCCGAAACATCAGTTCATACAAAATCTACATGGCTACACATTCCAGAAGATGGCATTCTTCATAGTCACCACTGTGAAAACCTCAAATCTTACATTTATATAAGTTGTTTAACATATGCATTAAAGTAATACTGTGGTAGAGTACCACATTAAAACCACATCTGTTTTAAACACAGCCCAAGCTGAATCAAGACTGCTCTCCTTAATTGTGACGTTCTACTGAAACAATTTAAACATTTGCCTTCTGGTAGGTGTTCAGAATACCAAATACAGAAATATGGAAATGTATGCACAGCATCCCTTCTGCTTAAGCATCTTGGGGGAAACCACAACACTTAAAGGGGGAAAATTATACTAGACATAAATATGTCTTTATTTATTTTTATGTTCAGTAGACAGTCCACGTCTTCAATCTTCATAGAAATTACATAATAAAATTCACATATTTCCTTATTACAGTTCATTCATTGCAACAATTTCGTAGACACAAATGAGTATTGCAAGACATCTTTCAATGCAGTATCCTTCCAATACCCACTTTATGTAATTCACAAAACTCAATGTTGACTCTCAGATCAATGAACATATGAGTTGTTCACTATTTTATATGAGGGTAGAAATATTCTGTTTGTTAACAAAACACTAAGAGATATGGGTCTCGCATCTGCATGAACTAAATTATTATTTTGCATGCAAACTCAAAATTCTTTCCAACAGTTTTCTGTGCATTACTTCACTTGTGTTCATTAATTATGTTCACAAAATTCCTTGAATCCAAAAAATCCAGTTACATACAACATTAATTCATATTTACACTGCTTGCTTGAACCACTCCCAGTTGTTCAAACATACACCTCCTACAACCATACCTCCCAAATTACACAATTAAGTACAGATGTTTATCATAACCCGTATCTTCAATGGACATGAATGAAGAGGATATTACACTGTTTTTCAACATTTAATCATCTTCATTTTTATTAACACTTTCTGCTACAAGTTCAGTGTGACTTATGTCCAAGGTACCAGAAATGACACTTGTACATATACTCTCCAAGTCCCATCACTCTCACTTGCCCTTATCAATGACAAAGAGACTATGTTTGGCAGACTGTCAAACATCTGCCATTGTATCCCTAAGCAGAGCAGCTCATAGGAATGAAAACAAAACCAAGGCAAACAGTGCAAGGAAGGCAAAAGAATGTCATCATAATTGACAACATTCAACTATGATGTTGAGAAACTCGTTATATTCAATGTGTATAATTAATCTGTAATGACTTTAATATAAAACATGATGAACATAAAATTAACAAAATTATGCAACAGTAGACATAATAAAGAAAATGTAGTAAAATACATTTGTCAAAATGCCTGGAAGTCTCATATCATTACAAGTTTGTATACCAGTAACATTAAGATATTACAGTTAAACTGTTGACTTCATGAAGAAAAATGACAAAATTCATCTTCAACACATTCCGTATCTGTAATTAACATATTTCTATTTACACGTTTTTACATCAGTCTCTTATAATTACTCAAAGGTAATGAAAATACAATCTCAGTTCAAGTCACAATCTCCCCACACCCCAAAGAGGGAGCATAAAGTTATATGTTTCTCCACATACATAACTAATTGAGGACCTGATTTCTTTTTGTAATGAAGAGTAATGTCCAAAATTCCTTTTTAAAAGAACACAATCAATACATTTAAAGTAGTATAAATATCACAATACTAACTGCTCAGCCAGCTCTGCATATTCCTCTGTCTTTATTTCTTCAATCAACTCTTCTTTGATGGTAACTACTTCCAATGGCTCTTCCTGCAGCACAATAAATACAATTAGCACTCAGCACATGTACTAAATATTAATATCAATGTCTGAAAAATAAAAGTTCAAGCTGTATAACATCAATGCAAAATGCGTTATTGAAACTGATGAAATATTCAAAATTAATTAACAAAGCTCAAAGCATACTTCAGAGTGGAGTTTACGAATGTAGCATTTTAAGATTTTTAATCCCTACATAATCCTGACAGGCTTTTATTATCGAACATGCAAATATATTCTAACACTGAAAGAATGTAGAGGCACATTCACTAAATTGCTTATGGAGGTACATATCACCTGGAATCAAAAAGCAAGTGCTATTATAAACGAGCCTGGAACAAATCAACAAGGTGGTCTGCCCCCTTGAAAACTTAAAAAATACAACACAGACATAGTTTATTCTTCCACACATCTTGTAAAATATGTACCATGTTAAAAATTATATAGAATGTTTTATGGCACACACCAATTTCTTGTTCATTTTTTTAAAATCCAGTAATTGACTTTAACTCTGGTTAAACTGGGCTTATAATGGAAGGTTACAGAGTAAAGTGAAATTTTACCAATAACTTAAAGCTCAATTCCACGTTTCACAGGAACGGAAGTAGCTTTCATGATAAATCATTTAACAAGTTACAAAGTCAAGTGTACACTGTAATCTGTTGGTGCTGGAAGGCACAAGCAGAGACAATTTAATTAACGAAACATATCCCGGTTTATACTTCCAACACTCTTTTAGCCTGTTGCAGTTCATTTTATGCACTTTGCTAAGCTGTTTAGCCTTGTTCTATCCCTTTCGTCTTTCCCTTTCATCTCAGTCTGTGTGGGTGATTAGAAAAACAAAAATATTAGTTTACATGAAATCCAACTTGAATGTTTTCATTACTAATTCAGCAGTACACTCACACAATACAAGAAAGAAAGACAACTTATTCATAGTTCCATGTAGGACGAGTATGTGTAAAAACAACTTCAATAATATTCGACTTCGTCTTTTAAACCACTTGCCACAATATATAAAAGATGTACCAACACTATATAAATTTAAAAAGACTTTGAAAACATTTCTACTTGAACATTGTTTTTATAGTATAGATGAGTTTTCTTGTTTGGGGATAAACCCTAGTTAACATCAATATGACCAGATAATTCAAGAGTAAGTGACTTGTTGAGCTTATACCAGCATGCTATGAATGTATACTGCGCAGTCTTCTTCTGCTTAAAGGAATCAAGACACCATGTTGGATATGTGATAGAAAGGACATCATGTGATGGAGGGACGTCTACGTAGGCCGCTTAGAGAGAGATCAAGAATACCAGGCCATCAAGAAGGGCACCAATTTGCAGTGAACATTACACTAGCTTTCCGTATCATTATTCTAAGGCCACGCCATAGCTTAAGCGATTAGTTGCTGGCTTCCCACCACTGCGAACTGGGCAAGTGGGATTTGTGATGGACAAAGTGGCGCTGGGGCAGGTTTCCTCCGAGTACTTCGGTTTCCCCTGCCAATCTTCATTCCATCAAATTCTCAACAAATAAGAATATCTAACTAATTCTAAATTGTAATCAACTGTAAACAATTGTAACTATTGTAATTTTAACCTTACTCATATATTAAATTGTTAATATTCAGAATTAACTTGACTTGTCCTATATCATGTACAATGATCTACAGTGACGAAATAAATCAATCAATCAATCAATCAATCAATGAAAGAAACTGTAACTCACTTTGACTTCAGTCTTCACTTCTACAAACTCAAGAGGATCAACAAGTTGTTTACCATCTTCAGGATCTCCAGTTGAGTCCGATGTTTTGTCAGCATCAACATTTATTCTTTCAAAATCCATGCTGTGCTGCAAAATATTAATATTCTATCACTGCGTCAAAAACTGACTGAACACTTCTATGGTGCAGACTTTATTTCAAGCTTCTGAATCATGATGTGTAAAAATACTTTGCGATTGTGGAACAATATTAAAATTGCTCTTAATGAAGTAGAATGGAATGGTATGGACTGGATTTATCTCGCTCTAGACAGAGGCCAGTGGAGGATTCTTATGAACACAGTACTGAACCTTCAGCTTCCTTAAAATGTTTGGAAATTCTTGAGTATCGACTGGCAGCTTCTCAAGAAGGACTCAGCTTCAGTAAGTTAGTTAGTTCTTGTAAATGGTAAAGGTGAAATTGTCCCTATCCTTAACTACTTAAGCACTATGCCATGAAGATGTATGGGGGAGTGGTTCAACAGATCCATATTTTCTTCACTGTGGCACTAGCTGGAGGTGAGTGGTCACCTTCACGCCCCTGCCGCTTTATCCCCATGGAAAGAACCCCCAGTACCCACTGGATAGGAGATTGGGTGAGCCACAGAGCCAGTCTAGATGATATGGAGAAGAGAAAATTCTGACCCTGCTGGGGCTCAAACTCCAACCCCTCGGTCGTCTAGCCTGTAAGAAGTAGTTATGCTGACCGTGCTACCCTCTCTCACCATTTAGTTCATGTACCATGTAATATTAATACTGCTCATCTGAATCAGATATCTGTTCAGTATATTACTGTTATATTGTAAAAGATATGTTGATTAAAGTATTTACTTGATTTATCATCTTGCTACATGAACACCCTGCATATAGTTCTGCTGCTGGTCAGATATATAGTAGCTACACAAATGTCTGCTGAAACTAAACAAAGCCTGTGGCCTGTTGGTCAGACAGTGATAGTAGAGGAAGGAGGGAAATTTTCTTCAGCATCTCATTATTACTCCGCTGAAGGGGCACCACTATAATGAAGAAAGCCAACTTTGCAAGTCCATCCTGTGCCAATTCAATACTGTTTACATATCACGTGCTCTGATACAGTAAATTGTGGCTCACTGCAGTAAAAGCTGCTGTGCTAACAAGTAGCAGTAGTAGTAGTAGTAGTATGAGTAGCAGCAGCAGTAATTGTAGTAGTAGTAAATAATAATAAAGTTGTCCCTGTGCTTAATTAATTAATTAACCACCACACCATGACTATGGATGGGGGAGTGGACGCATATCTGCACCTTCTTGACCTTGGCACTAGATGTAGTTGACTGATCAGCTTCATGCCTCCGTCACTTTACTCATGTGGACACAGCCCCCAGCTAGGAGGCTAGGCTGGCCCCATAGCTGGTCAGGACACTGTGGAGAGGAGAAAAATTTTTTGCTCCTGCCAGGAACTGAACCCTGGCTGTCCAGCCCACAGCCTGTTGCTAAGCCCAACTGAGCTATCCCAGCTCCTGCTATGTTAATGAAATCAACATTTAACTTAATTTTAAACTTGTTCTTTATATAGAATTCTTCACTGTTTGCAAATTCACCAATATTATCTCTAAGGCTACGCCATAGCTTAAGCGGTTAGTTGCTGGCTTCCCACCACTGTGGTCTAGTCAAGTGGGATTTGCGTTGGAAAAAGTGGCGCTGGGGCAGGTTTTCTCCGAGTACTTTGGTTTCCCCTGCCAATCCTCATTCCATCATATTCTCCATAAGCATAATTACCGGTACAGGTACAATAGGACATATGGAAGGTGACATGCCAAGGGGACATAATATGGATTTCACCTCACACTATACGAACTCTAACTATTGTAATCTACTGTAATCTATTGTAAACAATTGTTAAGTATTGTAAGTTTACTCTCTTATTGTAATCTGCCAATGTACAGTAACTGACTTGTCCTATATCATGTAACAATGATCTATAGAGACAAAATTAATTAAATAGGACATCAGGCCATCATGAATGTAATAAGTGACATGCCAATCAGGGAATTATGCTTTAAAATGAAAAACTCACAATGATCACATAATTCATTTATGGGCCTGTCATTATGAAAAATGATTCTTCCTCATCAACAAATTCAGTTTCAAATACACGTGCCCTGATGGCACTTGCACTGTCGAAAACTGTGCCACATCTCCATGGATGTCCATAACTCATCATTTACAGTTTTACAGCAACACACAGAAATATGCATTGATACACCAGCTTCAATAGCATCATCTATCTACTGGTCACAATTTGTAATATTTCTACTAAATATATACTGAAAGTCATGAGCAACAATTTTTTGTAAAGTAACATGCTTTATTATTGACAAACCAAATACACCACCTCAATCTACAGACCTTTCTTTATTTTTCCACATAATCGCCACTTCTTTGTACACATTTCTCCCAGTGTTCTGGGAGTTTGAAAATTCCCCTTCTGTAAAATTCCATTCCAGCCATCCGAAGACACTGACGTACTGCTTTCTGAATTCAGCGTGCTTATGGATGTGTGTGCATGGGTGCGAGCAGTGTTCAAAGATGGGTGAAACATTTTAAAGATGGGAACACCAGCATCGAAGATGAGCCTCAGAGCGGTCGTCTTCGAACAGCCTCAACTGAACACAACAAGAAAAGAGAGGATGAGATCATTCAAGATGACAGGCGTGTGACTGTGGACACAATGGCCTGAAAACTTGGAATAGGGCACAGTGCAGTACAGGAGATGATTGAAAGCTTGGGCTATAAGAAAGTTTGTGCTCGGTGGGTTCCGCAGTTATTGACCGAAGACCACAAAGGTCACATTGGAAGCAATTGCAAAGATGGGGTGGGAAGTTCTTCCACACCCCTCCTATAGCCCTGATCTGGCACCCTCCGACTACCATCTTTTCGGATTTGTAAAGGATCAGCTGCATGGACGACGTTTTGAGACAAGGCAGGCAATTCAGAAAGCAGTGTGTCAGTGTCTTCAGATGGCTGGAACGGAATTTTACAGAAGGGGAATTTTCAAACTCCCAGAATGCTCGGAAAAATGTGTACTAAGAAGTGACGATTATGTGGAAAAATAAAGAAAGGTCTGTAGATTGAGGTGGTGTATTTGGTTTGTCAATAATAAAGCATGTTACTTTACAAAAGAGTGCTCATGACTTTCAGTACGACCTTTGTAAAATGGGCAATATAAATATCTTCTGTTTTCTTTCAATCCTTCTACAAAAACAATGCAGTCGATTCTGTTAATTGTTTCAATCACTAAATAATGCACTGTAGACAATTGGTATACCTAAACAAATATATCTGATCCTCAGGTACAGAAAATACATCCTAGAATGTTGTTACATGTCCACATGGCCAGCTAGTATGATGTTGAAATGCAGTCATGTACATCTGCTACAACTGCAATGCTAGTTTCATTAGATGTCACAGACTAGCTGGAAGATATTTATACTCCCCTGATTTGACAGCGACAGTAGTTTTAAAATGGGTGTTATTACACTGCCTTCAGTGCTTCAGCTCACTGACAGTGATATATAGACAAAATCCATAAACAACTCATTAAACCAGAACACCACATTACATTTTAGTTATTTTAAAACGTATCAGTTCCAGCAAGTTATTAATCCCTCCTCACCGAAATAATACATCCTTGTAACAATTAATGCAACTCAAGTAACGTTTCTGAACTACGACAGAAATGTAATTCCGCTGGTTAACACAAATCAATGTAACACCATCTGCGCCCTTCGTTTGATTTCTACGATGGTTTAAATAAAGTGGAATTAATACATAACCTCACTTCGTACGAATCACAGGTGAGCCTAATAACAAACGTCATCTTCACTGGGATCCTTTTCTGTAATTCTAATTCTTCTTCAGATTAGGATGAAACAAAGCATATCCAGCAATCCATCGGAAAACATGCATACTAAAATCGACAAACGCAGTATTCCCCTTTACGGCTACACCTCTTTACCTTCTTCCGCTCTCTGTATCTCTTCACGCGCTCTCTGACACACGCACGCCGTCGTTCAACAACTTCTGGATCAACGTTGACAGTCTCCCCAGCCAATATTTTCATCTTCTTCCGTTCTCTGTAAGCCCTATTATATTCTCGGTTACGCGCACGCTTTCGTTCTCTAACAGAAACTTCGTCATTTATTTCGGTCCACTCACAAACAGCCTCACGCCCTTGCTCGCTCGGCTGGCGATTACATCCTCGAGTACGCTCACATCCAACCTCCGAAATCCGGCACGCATATTCCATTACTACCCATCATGGACCGTCACGGACCGATCATGGACCAACCTACTTCCAATGCCGATGCTACGGAAGCTACCGACACCGTTTAGAAATAAATTTCAGCATGTAGATATCACTAGTATTCAGAAGAAACTGCCAAAGAGTCATCGTATTTTTCACTTAAAAAATGCAATTAATATGTAAGCCGGCATAAACATGTTACATATTCATAACCCCAAATTAATCACAATGCAATTAAAATTCATACCCGTTACTTAACCGTGCCTCATCCAGTCCGAAACAATCACCGTTCAGAAATTCAGAAAGCTTCGCCCCGATGTCCCCGATCGCTCCCGATGCTCCCGGTCCTCCCGATGGTCCAGAACCTCCAGTGTTCTCGTGGCGGGAGCCATTTTGAACGATTTTGAAAGCCTGAAGAAGTTGTAGATAGAAGTAAGAATGGAGTGGAAGTTTCTGATTTAATTAAACCAAAATGCATAATAGTGTGGCGTATGTAATGTAAGTATTAAATTTTACAAACGTGGTGACATAAGGTTTTGTATGTAAGTGAACATTTATTGAGTTACGTAAGGAATATGTGTAATGTAAGATTTGAGGCTTTCACGGCGGTGACTATGAAGAAAGCAGTCTTCTGGGATTTGGCACCGTGTATATGTGGTGTTAACCGACGTTCCTCCGAAACGTCGGTTAACACCACATATACACGGTGCCAAATCCCAGAAGACTGCTTTCTTCAATATGTGTAATGTTCATGTTCCTGTAGTTTGAATCCGGCTGTATAGTACTCGTTGCTGTGGCTTGTCTTCAGAGTTACTAGACAAGGTAAGGAGGGAAGGAGTCCTACACGATCTACCTATGTTGTTAGAATTAGTTTTGATTCGCTTATCAGGTTGTTCAGTTGGGAGGGGGCAGGGGGGAGTTTGGTTATGTTAAATTCAATTAAGGTTACAAGATTTTAATTCATTAGTAATATTCAGTAATATTTACGTACGTTGAGGTAGTGTGACATTACATGTGTTATATGTTTGTAATTTAAAAGTTTTCTGTATATGCTGTGTTGATTTGATATAAATATGTTGAGTAAGCAGGAGACAATTGTACTTGACAAATATTGTTCATTGTACATCTTCGTGAATATATAAATTTGAATCATATAGACTCTTATTAGAGGTGCAGCTGCAGTTCTGCAGTTGGGTTATGGTTGAATATGTCTGTGCTTCAGCTCTGAGGTGGTTGCAAACGTAAATGTAAGCCTGTCACTGTGACCGAAAGAATTAACAAACACACAGTTAGTATGCTGTGGAATGAAACAGATTTGTCATGTGATGACAGAGCTATAGATGCTGATTTTATGTGCAAAATAATGATTACTCTTAATATTTGTGTTAGAAATTGAGAATTTGAAGTGTGCCATTATGGGATCATATTGGAGAGAGAGGGAAGGACTAATGTTATGCAGGTTCATATGATTTGTTATTTGTTAGAAGAAAAGATTAATATTATTACAGGTACTTACAAAACAGCACTTCACAGTATAGATTAGTTTGTATTTGGCTCATGAAATTTGGCATTGTAGGCGAGTTTAAAAGTAGGTACAAATTTTGTGTTAAAAACGTTTCTCTGTTGGTATGAATGTAGTATAAGGGGTGGGCCTTCTTGGCCCTTGCACCGCGACCACAGTGATCTATTAAGTATGAGCTTGGTAATAGTGAACTGTAAGCAGTGAAGCTTCATTGTTTCAGTTACTTTCTTTGCAAATAATTTTGCAGTATGAAAGTTTGTGTTGACTCCAATCAGTTCTCCATGCCTTGCATAATCTTTTGAGACGTTTGTGGCCATACTTTATTAATTGCTGAGCAGAATGTTAACACTTTTGTAATGATGGAACTGATACATAACTCAATTTCTGGGGAAGATCAGTATTTTCATTTTATGAGCTGATTGTCCCTGATGTTTGTTATTGTGCTTGAATATTCTTGTTCCATTTTGTTTCCTGTTCTTGTAGAACCAATATTTGGTCCCCACTAATAATCTAATCTAGATAATTACATTTTATAAAAGCTGTACTGATATCAGAGTTTGTGAAACAGTGAAAATTACAAATGTGGCTATGGATATCATGGTGTAGCTGTAGTAGCTGAAATGTAGAGGACAGAATTATGTATTATTGACTGGGAATTTTGGTTGGACAGAAGTTTTGAAATGGAAAATAAGCAAAAGTTCTTCCATGAAATTTTCTATTTATAAGTAGTGCAGTATTTCGTGGCTTGCATTTGTAAGGGAATGGAAATTAATTTCCCATTTTTAAGGAGCTGAAGTCTTTACTTTTATATATTTTTACCGTGTTCTAATATGGACATATCTTTGAACAAAATTTACTTAGTGTATGGGTATTATTAGTACCTTTTCTTTAGTCCAGTATGTATACCAGCAAATACTTTATCTGCATTGACAAGCTTGTCTAAAGTCTCACACATTTACCATTGCACTGTATTTTTTAATCTTGAGGCAGAAACTGAACCTGAGACTACCATCAAACATGTTTGTGTGTGGGAGGAATGGGGGTGGGGAGTGCCAAGTATTATCATGCAGGAATGTTATGTAACCATGCAAGCCACATAGAAGTTTTACATTTTGCTGAAATTAAAAGTGGTTCAAGTTTGAAATCGTACATTCAGATTTGCATGCAAATCAGAATCTGTTTTTAATGCTATTCATGTAATTGTTTCAGGCCTGTGACTCACCAGCACGAGACCTCAAGTGACTTGTCTGCCATAAGAGGAAGGAGTTGTTGTTGTACAGTCATAACGAGCAAGTTACAGCATTTTTCTGAAGTCCATTGTGCTGTCCTATCATCCATGCATGGCTCTTTCAGATAGCCTTTTCTCTTGCAGCTGTGTCACCAGAATCTCTGCATGTCAAAGACTGAAGTGACAAACTATGCATGTCAGGACTGAAGTGAAAATCAGTACATGTCATGACTGAAGTGAAAATCAGTACATGTCAGGACTGAAGTGAAAATCTGGGCATGTCAAGACTGAAGTGAAAATCTGTGCAAGTCAGAACGAAGTGAAAAATCTATGCATGTCAAGGCCAAAACATGACAGGAAGATACTATTACAGTATTACAGGAAGAAATGTCAGTTTGATGTGTGTGACCATGTCAGACTGATACTTATTTGTCCAACAGACTGCCTCTCTTGCTTTACTATGTTTGCATGCAGGAGGGTAACACATATGCATGATATCACCCGACTTTGTGTCTTGCTTTGATGCCATTGATGTGCAACATCGGTTACTATTCACTTGCTTTTCTTTATTGACACTACATGTTTCGGCCCAACCAGCCATCTTCAGGTGTACAGGTTGTTGTGATTGCAGAATCTGCTGCTCACTGTAATGCTGTTTTGTTTCTGTTATGTGGAGGCCTTGGATTGCATCAGGTTTTGTGGGTTAGTCATTTGTTTTTTTATTTAGGTGTCCTTGAGCTGCTGGTCTTTGCTTCATGGTTTTGTTTGGCTGTGGCTGTCTTGAATGTTCTTGCTGGGGCAGGAATTTGTTGTGTTGATGGCCAGCCACAGCACAACAGATATGCCCAGCTCAAGGACACCTAAACAAAAAACAGATGGTTAACCCACATAACCAGATGCAATCCGACGCCCCTACATAACAGAAATAGAATAGCATTACAGTGAGCAGCAAGTTCCTTGATCACAACAACCTGCGTGACTGCGTGTATAACACACGCAGTCACAGGAGCGAGACGCAACATAGAGCACAATACACGATAGTGAAAGAGTGCTCCAACACAAGATGATAGACGTGACTCGCGTAATGAAACATGACGTAAGAATGAAATATGCTGTACAATTTTAATATTTTAACACTTAACATTTATCAGTATATATGATAAATATATATTTTAGTTATTTTAGTATGTATAGACAAGGCATGCAATGAACTAGTTTGTCGTGGATTGGATCAGCACCTGAAGATGGCACATTTGTGCCGAAACATGTAGTGAGAGTGAGAAGAGGGGATAGATGAATGTATGCACTAGAAGACGGATAAAATAAATCATGGACTTAAATCAGTGCAACAGGACGCTAAAATATAACATTATTTTATATATCATTTTTCCTAAAGATGATATACATTTAAATACTACACCAAGTGAAACTATTTTATTGTACCTTTCTCAACAGTATACTGACCAATAAAGAAACAAAATCTTCAGTTTCTTTTGATAGGTATGTCATACCTTCTGTTTGAAAACCATTTACTGAAAAATTAATTACCTATGGTAAGGACGGATAGTATAATGACCATCAATTACCATAAGCAGACTGCTCTGAGTGAGAATGTTACAAACTAAAATCAACTCCATACATAATTCCAACCTTGCAAGTAACCACACTAACTGAACAACATATTCTTCATGCACCTAATGGAGTAGGTGTACATGCTTTAAATTATAATCCCTATTTCATGAAGAAATACACAAATGTAACAACTTTTGTAATAATGTGATTTTAAGTCAATTTCAATTAACAAAGAATAGAACACATTGAAACTGTCTTAAATAATTAGGTGGCTGGAATATATGTGACTGAGGTTGTCAACTTAAGAGTTATACATTACTGATATCAAGAAAAATGTAAGTTTGGGAACACCTGTAGTCTGTCTGTGTACCTTCTTAAGTGAAGATTAGTAACACTTCAGGATTACAATTCAGACTTCAGATGATGTTCAGCATTGACTTATATATTCATTTTGGGTTCAAATCATTATCCCCACCTCCAAGAAGGTGCCTTAAGATCAACCTTACACAGTTTCATGACCTGATATTATTGGCCGTGTCTATGTGTCTTTCGAGTTTTCATATACCTACAGAGGACTCTTTATCATCTGCATGTGGATTAAACACAGGACTTTCATAACCGCATATAACATTTGTAACCACTGTCCAGTGCGATTGATAAAGGTTGTTTTCAATGTTTCATCCTTTATATGTTTCAGTCAAAACGACCATCTTCAGAAGGATATTATCAGCACTTCTGGAAACTACAGTTACATGTCATAGATATGTATGTTATATCATTTAACTAATATTAAGATGTACTTTGATTTGATAAAACATTTAAAATTATTACAAAAGTGTAAGGACAAGAAACCATATTGGTTCTAGTTTAAAACAAATACTGAACATTATTTTGCAAACAGACTAATTGTAATAATTTGTAGATGTTTTAACAAATCAATGTACATCTTAATATTAGTTAAAAGATATAAAACATATACATGTATCACATGTAATAGCAGTTTCCGTACGTGTTGATATCTTTCTGAAGATGGTCGTTTTGACCGAAACATGTAAAGGATGAAAAATTAAAAACAGCTTTTATCAATCACACTGGACAGTGGTTAAAACCCTTACATACAATTACTAGTGTGACGGACCAGGATGAACCAAGTTACTTTTATAACCCATTACAAATGTTTCAGTGATATATCAGTGGTGCTTTACAATGATTTGCAGTAGACTGTACATCTTCTGATTCTGCTGCTTGTATAATTTTACAGCTTTCCATACTGGCCTACAACTGAACAAGGGTTTCTTTCTTCCCTTGGAGCTTACAGGTGCCAACAGGTTACCTAAGGAAGCAGGAGAACCACTGTACTCATTTGAATGTGAAATGAACTCTGTGGCCTTCCTTCCAATACACATAGGCACTGTTGGCAGCTGCAAGCTGTGTCTCATTTAAAAATAGAGACAGTAAGAAGCAAAAAAACACGCCAAAGTTCAGAGTTGGTGCCAGCATATTTCATGAAGAATTTGCAGTTTTGTTTTTGAGATGGTTGCCCTGAAAAAGAAAGAAATAAAGAAAATGTAGTAATGCTCATGTTAAACTTGAAGATCTCACAAAAACCTCACATGGTGGTTTTCTTTTTGAAAATGAAATTTCATATTCTGCATCAGAAACAGAAATTTTTAGTAAAGCTTCACAGTACCAAGGAGGAAAGTCTTATTAATCAATCCATCATTAAAATGACACTTTATAGTGCACAGTCTACAAATTATAACAAGACAAGTGACATGCTCAGAGAAAAACAAATATTTACTTTGCAGTAGTATAATCACCATATGACATTAACAACAATATTATATGGCTTCCCATATACTCAGCCTTTAAGTTAAAGCTATGAATTACTGTTATTTGCAATGTCAAGATTAGACAAATTGTGAATTGAGTTCACTGGTTTCATCTAGTAATCTGTGTTCTCATGTCTAAGTCTGTCAGTTAATTAATACAATTTTTTTTTGGTAGACTTGAAAGGATTCTGACGATGGTGTATACTGTACTTCTTTTGACTTATTTTGGACTTAACCCATCGTCTGGTACGTAAAAGACAAAAAGACAAAAAACCACGACGTTTGGAGACTGGATCTGTGTCCGTCTTCAGGTGGATAGGGAAGGGGCCCCAACTGAGTAGGTTTATCCTTCCCTATCCACCTGAAGACGGAGGCAGATCCAGTCTCCGAAACGTCGTGGTTTTTTGTCTTTTTGTCTTTTACATACCAGACGATGGGTGAAGTCCAAAATAAGCCAAAAGAAGTACAATTTTTTTTAATTAGAACTGGTTGTTCTTTTCAATGAATGCAGACAAAACGCATACTCATGTTTGTTTACTGCCACTAAGGACCACAAATGGAGACTGCATTTCTTTCTGCTTCTGCTGCAGGAGGCTAAGCGTTCCGAGTGTGTGTCTGTTGAGCTCATCTGTTTCATCAACTGGAAACAAAAAAAAAATTCCTTCGGATGGGGCACAGCCTGTTTGCCCTTAAACATACTGTAATATCTACAGTTCATGTCACTGATTATCCTAACAGGTGGCCAAATTTTAAGCTTTTTTATTTTTTGTTATTGCTAGTGGGGTGGGACTAAGTCCCTTGTACTGCGGCCACTTCTGGCCTATTGTACAAGTCCCAGATGATAGGTGAGGGTGATTGTTTAGCAGTTGGTGGAATGAAGATTGGCAGGGGAAACCGAAGTACTCGGAGAAAATCTGACCCAGAGCCACTTTGTCCACTACAAATCCCACTTGACCAGATCCCGTATCGAACCCGGGCCACCATTTTGGGAAGCCAGTGACTAACCGCTTGAGCTATGGCGCAATACAACGTTGATGATCATAACAATTTTCTGTAGAAATCTCAGTGAGTTTGCATACCAATTTGAAACATATTCAAGAGAGGACATAAACCATTACCTACCCTCCCTGCAGGCTACATCTTACCTAAAGCCATACACGTCTTCTGCAAGTGAATTCTCCTCATCGCTGTCCTCTGCTGCAATGTACTGCACTTCCAAGCACATGTCACCCAACTGCATCTGCAAGATATCCACAGTTTCTTGATGAGAGGCCTGCAAGAACATCAGGGCTCTGTATTCATCATTTGGATACGTTCTGGAAGGTGTTCTAATTTAATTAAAACTTTGAAAAGTACCGTCTTCTGGGATATGAATGCTGTGTAGTCTCGTAGAAGTTTACTGACTTTTGTAGGTATGTTAGTAAAATTCTGAGACTACATGGCGCCATATCCCAGAAGACAGTGTGTTTTTTAGTCACCACAGAGAGAAGCTCAGATCAAGTATAAATTGCATACAGTTGTTACTTCCTGTATACATTGAGGGATGCTAAAAACTGACCTACAGGCCAGCAGCAACCAAATACAGTTACAATCATCTGTAAACCATTAACATTATTTGATGATATCTATCTCTATTATAATTTCATCCTATTGCCCTCTTCTTTTCCAAATGTTTTGAACAAAATTTTCTCATTTTCTTCATTGTTTCTGTTTATACATTCAGTCTTTATCATAAGCACCTCATTACCAAAATACATCCAGTCATTCTTAACATAAAGCTCACCCCATAACTTAGATTCAGAATATGTGTGTTCTTTTAGGTTCTCTGATGGACTCAATTTGACACAGAAATCGCTTCCTGCTCTGTTAGATTCAATCTGACAACCCAACAATCTCAAAAAAATTAAGTGAAATTTACCATGGTAGTTTGTCATGTGTTCAAATAATTGGAACAATGGTCAAATCTGAGGATCTCACAGCAGTGACTATGAATATTACTGTGTTCTAGGGTGTGACAGGGTAGAAGATAATCTCTTCTTGTGCCATGAAGAAGGTAGGTGCAGGTTCCTGTGATACTACTAGACTGTGTGGCATCATTTCCCAGAAGGCAGCGATCTTCAGGTCCTCACCCTGTGACCTGCTGCACACAGATGACTTAGCCATTCATCAAGAGACACTAAGGACACTAAGGAAAGCGACAAACAAACCAAGTCCAACCCAGAATTACACTTCAATATCTAGCCTTAAAAATACAGGGTGATTCTAAATTACTATCTGTGTTTCCATGGCCTATAATTCTCAAACCGAAAATAACAAAATAAAACTACCAACGGAATGTCAAAGTGTAATTCAAAAAGTTTTATTTTATGGGTAATAAAACTTTTTGAGTTACATTTTCATATTCCACAAGCAGTTTTAGTTTATTTTTGGTTTGAAAATTATAGGCCACATAAACCCTGACAATAATTTAGAATTCATATTATAACAGTTACCTGCTTCAAGTCCTGGCCATTTCCATAAAGTATCGCATCTCCAACATACAGTGCACCACATTTTGCTGCTGCTCCTTCGGGCTCCAATTCTGAGATGAATATTCAGGATAGAAGGATACATTTAGTTGAAAATAGCTTCTAATTTTTTATTAATGTATTTAATATCTCTCTTTCTATATTTATTATGATTTATTTAAAAAAATCTAAGGGGAGCAGATGCCTGGGTTGCTCCCTCCCTGCCGGAACCCAAGACTCTTGGCATGGAAATCCGTACAGGCCATAAACAATTCAACGGTGATTGTTGGTACCACACTGTTTCTTCATGGATTGGTTGTATTAGGTTAGGTCAGGTCAGGTCAGGTTATCTCTGCTTACAGGGTTGAAGTCCATATTCTTCACAACACCAGGGCTTCTACGGAAACAGATGTTGTACCTGTTGATTTTCTTCGTGTCGTGCTTACATATCACTTAACAGCCATATTGGATGAGAAGAGCTTTTTATTATAATACAAAACAAAAACAAATGAATATAGATCACTATTACCAACTTGAACATTTTTACATTACCAGATTCTCAACATTCCTCCTTAATTTCAAAATGTTGTCAACATTATTAGCTGTTTACAAAGTTAAATTGAATAACACTTAGTAATTTTGGTCTTCAGATTACAAAATTAGTACATGTAATTAAAATTTTCTCAGTCTTATCAAAATCAGACTTATTTCTTCTTAAGTATAATGTCTCTAAACTTGGTAAATTTCTCTGGTGATAGCGGTTTTGTTAACATGTCTGCCACCTGAGTTTCGGTGTTACAATATTTGAATGAGAACAGTTTCTCTTTCAATTATTCACTTATGTAGTGATACCTAACGTCTATGTGCTTACTCCTACGCATTACTTGTCCAATTTCTATTAGCTTGATTGCACTCTTAGTGTCAACACACAGTTCAGCTTCCACCCTTTTTCTTGTCAACTCCTCTATCAACGTCTTTAGATATTTCAATTCTTTACAGCACTCAGCTGTTGCAATATATTCGGTCTCAGTGGTTGATAATGCAACAATACTGTTTCCTAGAGCACAATGATATTGGGCCCCCTGACATCATAATTATATATCCCATTACAGTCTTCCTATCCTTTACATCCCGTGCACAATCAGCATCACTAAATGCTTCCAGTTTCACCGTTTCGGAGCCAGATGAGGTATATTTTATTCCTGAATCTCGTGTACCTTTCACATACCTAAGGGTCCTTTTCACATTCTGAACAGCTATTTTGTCAGGCTTTTCTAATGTTCGACTTTCCACATTTACAGCGAACACCATATATAGCAGGCTTCCTACAGCTTCTCTGTAAGGAAATCTTATGTCATTTTCTCCTTCGTCATTCGTTGGTCGGGTCGTGGCCATGGGTGTTTTCATTTCTCGACTTTCTTGCATGTTGTATTTTTCCAACATTTGGCTTGCATAGTTGGTTTGCGCGATATGTATCCCATCTGGTTGCCTCTCGATTTGTATTCCTAAATAAACTTTTGGATTTGTGGTTTTTATCTGGAATTGATTTTCCCATCATCCACATGAATGGCCATGAACAAACTATTGGCATCATTCTTAAAAATGCATTGGTCGGATTTTAGTTGGTTTAGACCTTCTTCTTTAGAAAGGTTGTCAACTTCTTGTTCCATTTCGATGGTGCTTGTCTTAGGCCATATAATGCCTTTTTCAGGAGACATATCTTTCCAGTGTTCTTGTATCCTTCTGGTATCTCCATATAGTTTTCCTCCTTAAGGTCTCCATACAGGAAGGCAGTCTTCACATCAAGGGTTTGCATGTTCATATTCTTACGTGCTGCTATGGCAAACAGTACTCTAAGGGAATGCATGCCAACAACTCGGCTAAAGGTATCCTTGAAATCTATTTTACCTTCCTTTTGTTGACATCCTCTCACAACCAGTCTGGCTTTGTGTCTTCCATCATCCTTTATCTTGAAAACCCATTTACTGGTCAGAATTTTCTTGCCCGTTGCTTTCTCTCTATTTACATATATCCAAGATTTGGTTTTGAAGAGCGAATGCTTTTCCTCTTTAATGGCTTTCTTCCACTTCTTGCTGTCTTCACTCTCCATGCACTTGTCATATGTATAGGTGAGCATACCCTCCTTTTGACTCTCTGTGTGATAGTCTCGGTACTTTGGGTGCATTTGAATGTTTCTTCTTGGTCTCAATGCATATCCATGTTCGTTTTGTCCATTGTTTTTCCCTCCATTATCCTTGTGGTCAGCATTTTCATTTTCTTCAGTATCTGTTGGTTCTTCTTCATTGTTGTCAGCTTTGGGTTCTTGTTGCATTTCACAATCTTCCTGATCTGGAGTATTTGGCTTGTCTTCTGGATCCGTCACTCTTCTTTCCATTTCCTTTTGTTTATTTGTTGTCACAGGTTTACTTGTGAATGTCACGTATCTGGAGACAGGTCCTTTCAGTATTTGGATCCCATATTCTGTAGCCATTTGTGTTGTATCCAACGAATATTCCTTTCTTGCTACGACTGTCCAACTTTTTCAATGGTCCAAGAATTTTAGTGTACACTTCTGAACCAAAATCTTCAATCCAGCCAGATATGGTCTTTTGCCATACCAATTTTCCGCTGGCGTTCCATTCACTGTCACTGTTGGACATCTGTTTAGCAGGTATGCAGAAGTGAGTACAGCTTCACCCCACATTCTCTTACTTAAACTTGAGTCAATCAATGCTCTTGCCTTTTCCACAATGGTATAGTTCATGCTTTAGGCAGTGTCATTTAGCTTTGGCGAATATGGGGTAGTAAATTCCATTACAATCCCCTTCTTCTTACACAATTTTCTCAAGGCGTTGTTCTTATATTCCCCTCCATTGTCCCATCTTATTCTTCTCACTCTTGTATTGAAGTGACACTCAGCTTCATTTACATATTCCTTCAAAAAGGTATACACTTCACTCTTATTTTCTAACAGGTATATCTTACCAAAATGTGTATAATCATCCACACACGTAAGGAAATATTTCTTATTGCCCTATGTGGTGGGATCAGTTGGTCCACAAACGTCACTATGAATTATCTCTAATGGCCTTCCAGCCTTACTTCTTTCTGTATCAAAAGGGAGTCTCACTTGTTTGGCCTGCATACAAACTGAACATGTATCAACACTTTTACACTTGCTCACACTTTCTGGTATCCCTTGGCATATCTCTCGTAGTTTCCCAAGATTCACATAACTTATGTGACCTAGCTTTCTATGCCACTCTACGTTTATATCTTGCTGAGTCATCATAGCTTCATTCATCACAGTAAGGTTAATTACAAACAATTCATTTTCATCCTTTTTTCCTTCAATTACAACATTTTTGTCCTTGAATATCTGGACTTTCTCTTTTGTAAACAACACTTCTCCATCATTTTCTGTAATACACTGCACTGACAGTAGGTTTTTGATGAGTTCTGGAACATATGAAACGTTTTTCAAACTACACTCTTTAAATTCAAAACTGCCTATTTCCTTTGCGGTCATACTTTGATTTTTCTTTGCTACCTTTATACATTGAGTATAATGCTTAGTATGTATCAAATCAGTCTTCACATTTGTCATATGACATGTGCTTCCACTATCCACTTCATACATTTTGTCTTTTTCATTTGCATCACTCACGTGGGTTTCTGCTGCTTCAGCTAGAAAATTGACCTTGCTTCTTTTATTCCTATCTTTAAAATAACAGTCCTTTTCAGCATGGTTCGTTTTCTTACATACTGTACATTGTTTTCTCGTATCACTGTCCTTATTTCTAAAGTAACAGTCCTTTTCAGAGTGATTATTCCTTTTACAGATAGAGCAATTTCTCTTACCTTTGTTGGGGCAGTTGATCTGGACATCACCTATTTGATTACAATTGAAACACTTGAAATGGCTTTTACTTTTGGTTTTAGTTACTGTCTTAAAAGCTACGCTTTCCTCTTCTTTAGTTGTCATCTTGCACTTCACTTCTTCAAACATTAATCTGGCCACCAGGTTGTCAAGGGTTCTGTCCACGGTCGCCGTTGAGTCCCAGGCGGTGCTAAAGCGTTTGTAGTCTTTTGGTAGAATCGTTGTTATTTTTATCATGATCATGCTTTCATCAACGTTTTGGTTCAGTTGACGAAGCTTGAAGGCAATGTTCTGCACATGACTTATATTCGTCATCATATCCTTAATTTTGTCATACTTGAAGTTGTAAAAGTCTTGCAGCACAAGGCACTGCTGCTGAGAGGTGTCTCGCTGATAAATCTGCTTCAAGGTGTCGTACATTTCTTTCGCGGTTGTGCATGTCACAATGTGGGTCTTCACGTGTTTCTCTATCGTTCTATGTACTACTGGCACTTTGAATCCCGCATCTTCCATTTCGTCATATTTTCTTCGTCTCTTCCTTGGTCACTTACAGGTCGCTGCCATCAACGATGTTTATCAGTTCTTTTGCACGCATCGGAATCTTGATTTCAAAATCCCACAATGGAAATGAGTCGGCGTCCTTCAGTTTTGGCAGATGCGTTACCTCTTCTGTCTCTGTGGTTGCCATTTTTCGTTATTCTTCTTCTGTCTTCTCCTCTTTTTTTCTTTCCTACCTTTCTTTTTAGTTTTTGAGCAAAACTGGGCCAATAACCTGTTGATTTTCTTTGTGTCATATCACTTAGCAGCCATATTGGATGAGAAGATCATTTTATTATAATACAACACAAAAACAAATGAATATAGATCACCATTACCAACTTGAACATTTAGACATTAAGAAAGCAGTCTTCTGGGATTTGGCACC